TGGTGGTCGTGTAGGTGGTGGGCGTGCCGTGCCGAAGAATGGGAGTAGTGTAGGCATAAAGAAGCAAAATGGCCAGGGTTAGGGCTATATATGGCCCCACACTGCCTCCCTAGCGGACCGCACTGCCCCCCTAGTACGACTCTAACAGACATTGCTAACACTCTATAGGCTACTGAACATAATGCAGGCATCGCTTGGCTTCCTCCTCCTTGCAAGCACAGTTACCAAAACCGAACCCATCCAAAGCCGCTTGATCACCCCGGTTCATGTTCTCTTCAACCTCGTATGTATGCTCAACATCAGTTGGTGTCTCTCCGTAGGCAATTTCATCGTTTGTGGCGGTCAGTTTGGCCTGGAAAAACGGCTCTGCCTGTCTAATCCACCTCTTCATCGTATCTCGACTGCTCATTATCCCACCGGGTACTATGTGCCTTCGGAAGAATTCCGGCAGGCCGAACAGTCGCGTGATGCTGGGCCTTGACTGGGTCTTGGAAGTGAGCCACCTCGGTGGTGCTTGTAGCGTCAGGTACCGGGGATCAAGATCCCCAACCACCAGGATCAGTGGAGGGGCTGCGAAGGCGAGATCATGCCAGGATGTGTGGAGGGATTTCGGGGCTTCGATGGCCTGGCAGGAACTGCTGCGGAGAACATCTTCCAAGATCCAGTAGAGAAGGGTGCGATCTGGCCCTAAGCTGGCTTTCTTCGTGGCCTCTATCAGCTCGGAGACCTTCCGCGTGGCCTGCCGAACCACATGATCACCGGTGAAATGGGTTTGTCTAGCGGAGATGAAGGTTGAAGAACACCAGGTCTGTAATCGGAAGAGCGCGGAAGAATGGGGAAACGGTGGCAACCGAGTGGTATCGCATCCCATTTGCCTCAGGATATGGATGCAGCACATCTCGATGACATCGGCTCCGTCCAGGGAAAGATGGACACCCCTTCTTTCGTCGTATACTAGCACCACAGCGGCCGCCGCGCTTTCCATGGCATGGATAGATTCATGCTCAATCGAGTTTGCAACCTCAATGTATCGTTTTGCAAACGAAACTGTTCCGCCTAGCTGGGGCGCGACGAGGAGAGGTACGCTGAGTTGAGCTAGAGCCTGGATCTCCTTGACCGTGTACCTGACGTACTTCTTCTTCCTGAACTGTGTCGTCACGCGTATCGTCGTCCATATGGTGCTGTTCGGACTGTTTCTGCTGGTTGCCAACCAGCCCAGTGCGCAGGGGGTAGTCGTTTCGAGACGGAAGCCGGCTTCTCTAGCAACAAGGGCGATTGGGACATTGAGATTGCAGTCCTGGCCGTTACAGGGGCGGTCACTTGAGAAGGTGTGCCACAACAACCATCCTTCTTCTGATCTCTGGCATTGGATATAATCTCCACCAGCAGCCTTGAAAGTACACCGACAATTTGGCACCCGCTCCAGCGAGTTGTCGAAGAGAGACCAGAGCGCTGCCGCTGTGAGGAGGAGACAGTCGTCTGGGACCATGCCGGGAAGTTGAGATGGAGTGCCTTCTTCCGACCCCGTCCCCGAGGATGATGCCTTTGCAGCACCCGGATACAGTATAAGAACACTTCCTGATAGGATCTTCTTTCTCCAACAACCCCCAGTTGGTTCTTCGACTTGCGCTTCTTGAGCATGGCCTTCCGCATGCATATTGTTTTCTACTTCTAGATCCAGGGATCCAGGAATAACCGAGGGTGATGTCCATGATGGTTTGAACGAAAACCCGCCCAGCCGAGCTTCCAGCCAGTCTAACAGAAATGCCAACGCCTGACCTTCTCCGTCTCGTTCCGACCGGTCCACGCAGAGAAACCACTGCCCCTCGCTTACTATGGCGCCCAGTCTAGTGCTTCTTGACAAAAAGGACTTGGCATCACTTTCGTCCGCACGTTTAACGAGGCTTGAAGTATTGCGCGTGGAATTGGATTGTTGATCAGTCGACTGAGGTTTTTCCAGAAGAATCCGTATGATCTGGTCGTTCTGGCGTTGGATGACTTCAAGCTGGTCCTGGAACCTTTCTTGCTGCTCGTGTGTGGTGCTAGATTGTTGAAGAATGCCTATCATCTGGTCGTTCTGGCGTTTCATGGCTTCAAGCTGGTTCTGGAAGCTTTGTTGCTGCTCGCGCAGCCTTACAATCTGACTTGCAATAGTCGCAGAACCGCTTTCATCATCAACATCGCGTAGGCCCCCTGTAATAGTCGGAGTCGCAGGATAGCTGTCAGAGTAACCAACGTCGCGTCGGCTCCCTGCAATCGTCGAAGGATAGCTTTCATAGTAATCATTGTCGCGTCGGCTCCTTGCAGTGATCGCAGAACTCTCATCGTCATCAGCATTGCGTCGGTTGCGTCGACTTGCGCTATTCGAAAGACTCCCTCCGTACAGGCTGCTTCCGTGATCAACGTTGGGTCTACTTGTAATAGCCGCCACACCACTTTCGTGACCAGAGTTGCGTCGGGGGTCCTCTTCCTTCCAGGAGACTTCTTGATAACCCCGGCCATCGGCTTTCATTGAGTTCTGGATGACATTGGCCATCACCCATAGCAGCTGGCAGTAACTGTCATCCATTGATATGGCAGCAGCCTCAGCGATGGAGATCAAAGCAGTGAGTTGGGTCGGAGTTCGTACGAGCGTCGCATGGCCGAAAAGCTGCGCTAATGGAAGACGCTGAAGCGCGTCAACTATGTTGTCATGAACCCTGATCCAATCCCAAATCCAGCGGTCTCCCCAATACAAACTATAGTGAGGGTTATACGGCCCATCCAGTCTGTAACCACTGCCCTTCAACTTGGGCTTAGGCTCTGGCCGAATAGAGGGCCAAATTGATGGAGGAAGGCACGTTCCATTGACAATGTCCTTCATAGGATTTGTGACCTCGGACTCGGACATGTTGTGGAAGTTGGGTGGATATAATTCAGGAAAGATCGATGAAGGCCGGTACCGCGTATGCTACGTGCCGATACGGCGATATCAGAGTCACGGATTGCCAGAGTCATATACAGAACCTGAAGGAAGGAGCGTGGGAGGTTCTTGCTATCCCCCGCTCCAAGAGGCAGTGCAAGGCTCAGCCACCTTGCTGCCCTGTTACCTCAGGCTCACTGCAAGGCAACCAGTATCACCAATCCCAAGGCGCCAACTCAGCGGTGGCTTTTCCACACCGCTGTTCCAACAGCTGAAAACTCCCAGGAGTCAGAACACCTTAAAAACAGGCTTCTCCAGCTCAAGCAGTAGTCGTCATGGATATCCCAATCGCCGGTGTATTACCTCTAGAAGAGGTCGAAGTCATCAACATGACCAATTCTATTCATTCTTGTGGGCACTGCCAAAAGCTCATCATCAATTTCAGAGAATCGACGACGCTAGGTGGTGTTGCTGACTGCATACAGGTTGACAGACCGAGTATAATGTCTGCCCTGGCAGGTGGGTGTCTACTGTTCCAGCATATGAACAGGATGCTGTCCCAGCATCTGAACACCGCCGGGGTGAGAGGTAGACATTCAAAACCAAACCCTTCAGGGACATCTCAGAATACGCATAGCCAGTTTGTCCTCACGCTAGAATTCACGTCGAAGCGGAACAGAGCCGGCGATTTGTACTGGGCGACAGTCCATTGGCATTTTCCAGGAGAACCGCCTCAACTGGACAACGAGGCGGGTGGCTTAGCTGTGTCCGCTTTCTCCAGTAGGTCTGGCAGAGTTGTGCAACTTTTCACTACGTAGTATGCTAATGAGCGGGCTTGTCTTCAGGTGAGCCCGTCGCATCCTTTGTCACCACCAGGCCCATATTGCCTAGAGTGACAGTCGACGGTGTTTGCGGGCTAGCGAAAACTTGGCTGAATGATTGCCATTCAGGACATCAAAATTGTCCCAAGCACCAAACAACTTTCATGCCTACAAGACTGATCGACCTTCGGTCCTTGGAGAATGGCTGCGCCAGATTGCACGCCCCGACTCCTGCCGATGTTACAAAGTATGCTGCAAAGTATGCTGCACTCAGTTATTGTTGGGGTCCATATAACCATATGACAACAACCAAGGCATCCCTATCTGACCGGATTAATGCGATTCACATCCATTCGCTTCCACAGTCAATACAAGATGCAATCTCGGTTACCCGCGGATTAGACATTTGGTTCCTCTGGGTGGACTGTCTTTGCATCGTCCAGGACGATGGAGAAGAAGTCTCCAGGGAAATTGCTGGCATGCCAGACGTGTACATGGGTGCCTATGTGACAATCACGGCATCTTGCGCGACGGGGAGTCATGAGGTTTTTTACAGGTGCCGACCTCCTGCAGAAGATCCCTTACAGTTCCGGATACCCTACCAAATTAGCGGCAAGCAGGGTGCCGTGATTCTTACAACAGAGATTGCTCCGTATCATGTTGAGGAGCCACTATCTACACGTGGCTGGGCATTGCAAGAACGCCTGCTGTCACCAAGAGTGTTGGAATTTGCGTCCAGGCAACTCCGATCGTTATGCCACTCTCGGATTTATTCTGACGCTGGAATGATGTACGACGATCCTCTACAGCAGGTCGCACCTCTACCCATCCGAAGTCCTGCCCCTCCTCGACGTTATCCTGGAGATGGGCCACTCGCTCACTGCGGATTTCCAGAATGGGACCACATCGTTTGGAAATATACAAGTCGATCTCTAACCATGCCAAAGGATCGGCTGCTCGCCATTTCTGGTATTGCTAAGGTGTACAGCGAGGTTCTTAGGTCTGACTACCTCGCCGGTCTTTGGAGGGTGGATCTTCTTCACGATCTGGCATGGATGATGTGCCAGGTCCCCAACAAGCAACCGTTACAGAAACGTGCGCCTTCCTGGTCATGGGCTGCAATTGACGGAATGATCGTCTCCGGTCCTTTGTCTCGACCGAGAGCGCAGTATGCTGCTGAAGTCGTTGAATGCGAATGTCTACCGGTGAGTAGTTCTGCACCTTTTGGTGCGGTCATCAATGGTGGCTTTTTAAAGATCCCGTCGTTTGTGAGGCGGGTGTCGAAACCGATATTGCTTCACAACTCACTGGTACGTATTTGGTTTGATACTGTCGAATCCAGTAGATGGAGTATCCAGAAGCAGTGGTTTCTCCTCTTATATCCACATTTACGCTTGGGTGATGGTGATACGCCTGCGGAAAGAGCTGTGGAGATGTATGGGTTGGTCCTGGCTGAGCAGGGGCAAGACTTCGAAAGAGTAGGCTTTTTCTCTCTTTATCTTTCTTTCGTTCCTGACGAGAATCTCCAGCGGTTTTACGGGTTAGAGCATTGGGAATATCGAACCTTAACTATACTGTAGTTAGAAGGGAACCCAACGCATCGAGCTTGCTGACACTCACTTGTAAAGCTCAAGCCCTACTAGCTCGTCTAGCCTCTGAGGTATACTACGGTGCGGAATATAACGCTTCCCATTTCCTACCAACAATTCAGACAGTCAACATTCACCGTTTGGGACAGTTAACGCTGACCGTCCAGGGGTCATTGCTTTTCACCCAAGACACCAAGTTCCACTAGATTTTCTGACTGCTACTCTTACTAGTACCCTGTACTGTAGGTAAAAGTTGGACGTTAAGGATGATGATAATACAGTCTGCATTTTAAGGCAACTAACTCTCGCTATTAGTCATATTGACCCATACATATACGATGATACGCCTAGTAATCAGTCTCTGAAAGGCCGTGGTAGAATATCTTGAACTGCCGCTTGAGAATGGAGTACTATGAGTAGCGGCGACTGGATGGTGTTCGGGGATAGCGGGGTAAACCCCCAACAGCCATGGGACGGACAACATTTCCCTGCGTGGCACTCTGTGCTAGTCCGTGAAGATTGCCATATATATACCCGTATGAACAAAATCATGCGGGGTAAACCACCAGATGGGAGCGGCTGTAAAACAGATTCCGGCGTGCTCGGATAATCTTCAACGGCGACCTGGCAGAAACGTACCCGCCGGCGTCGGCTGGAACGACCCCTGAACTGTGTACATGGGCCGTTTGTACATAAACAATAGCGCCACCCATTCCCACCCACTGTTACCAATCTCGTAGCTGACTTAACTTGAATTTCTCATAGCGCTGGAACTCACCGTCCCGTTTCATTAGACTCTGCTATGGCTTCACATGCTGAATTCGGTGAAAGGACGCCGGGGTCCGAGGTGGCAAGGACATTTGCTGACCAGATTCGAGGGAAAAGAAGTGCATCTCCCCCTCTGCGGTTCCCTCATTCTATGTACCCAGCTAACACTCTGTCTTCCACCCTCAGTCCTGATTACGGGTGTTAGTCCCAAGGGAATCGGTGCAGCAACCGCCCTCAATATCGCCTCGCAACACCCCGATCTCTTGATCCTGGCGTCTCGAACCAAGGCTCGAGTACAAGAGATTGCAGATCAGATCGCCGAGAAATACCCAGACACCAGAGTCGAAATCGTCATATTAGACCTGGGCTCGCAAAAGTCAATTCGACAGGCCGCTTCCGAGGTGGCCGGCCTGACCGACAGACTCGATATCCTGATCAACAATGCCGGTATTGTGGTGACCTCGCGGCAGGCAACCGCTGAGGGCATTGAGCAGCAGTTTGGCACCAACCACATTGGCCCGTTCTTGTTCACCAATCTGCTCCTGCCGCTCTTGCGCACTGCGGCCAAGGCAAACCCGCCCAGAGCAACGCGCATTGTCAACCTTACCAGCGCCGGGCACAGGTTGTCGCCTATTCGTTTCTCTGACTACAACTTTGAGGGCAAGCCTGTTCCCCCTGAGGAGGACCACTTCAAGCCTCTCCCTGGTGCATTTGCCAAGTGCGCTCCCGATGGTTACAATGGCATTGTGACATATGCGCAATCCAAGACTGCCAACATCTTGTTCACCCTCTCTCTCCAGAAACATCTTTCGAAGGATGGTATTGGAGCGTATGCTGTACATCCCGGGAGTAAGTCCACCCAGGCTTTCAGTCCCATCCGTTTGATTGTAAAGGGAAACTAATACACGGACCACACCAGCCATCGAGACGGACTTGAGCCGCGATCAGGACGATGAGTTGACGGCCCAGTTCTACAAAGTCGCCCCGTACTGGAAGACACCTGATGAGGGGACTTCGACTACTCTAGTTGCGGCACTGGATCCGGCACTAAACGGTGAGGGACTTTTCCTAACAGACCCGTCGATTCGTGTTATTACGGAGTATCTGACTTGGCAACGCAGATGTCAAAGGGGTGTACCTTTCAGACTGCCAGATCGCCGAGCCCTCTGCCCATGCCAAAGACCCTGTCGCGGCTGATAGACTGTGGGCGTTGAGTGAAGAGCTTGTTGGAGAGAAGTTTTCACTTAACGCTTGAAGAGGGGAGGGGGGGTTTAGGTGTAAAGATTTCCCTCAGCTGAGGCCCGGGGTGCTTAGCAGAGAACAGTAGATACCTCTTACTTGGTCATTGATCAACGTACCTAAATATGACAGATATGAGTTGGGGGCACAGCACTACTGTTGAGTGAGGTACAGTACATATACCTACCTCTGTCCTCTGTATTACAGTATTACACATCTGATAGCGCGTTGTCGCGTTGTTATGTAGGCATCAAGTGAAAAATGAGCCACACACTGACACTGGTCAAAAAGGGGGAAAAGGGGGCGCTGTATACACACCCCACGTAAGAGAGTGCGTACAAACCATAGTTTACCTTATCCACTACTATATCCGCTCGTTGTGCCCTGGGCTTATTAAGATGGCTTGGCATATAGCAGCCGCTGTCCTCCTTCTAGATAGGTCGGGTGGTGGGGGTTGTGCTCCAACATCATGTTGGCGTCATACCACTTGTGTTCATCACCCACAAGAACCAACAAAGAATTGACTGTCGCTCTCGGGCTTGCACAAGAAGCAATCATGATGCAAGGTGCAACTGAACCACATCATCGGTGATCACAAGTTGGGTCTAGTTGCTTGGATCATCAACTCACACCGCCAGGCATATATGATGACTCCAGTTTTAGCCTACCTATTGTAGAGCATCTACATTGTAACATACCAATGTATTCGTTCTAGTTCCATGGGAACTAACAATTTAGAACTAATATTCAAACCAACCATCAGCCTCTAGCATCATCCATCAACGCCATGGCGGAATCCAACGACTCACATCCTATCCCTGACCAACTCTACCACACGACCCTTACCGTGGTTGACTACCACCTCGACACATCCGGCTCGACCCGAGACTTCTACGTCCTCGGCACACACACAACCGTCTCCGCTGCCAAAGCCTTCGCCCTCGGGGCCTTGAAAAGCCTAGGCTACCAACCAGACGACTTCGCCGATTACACCACACGCCTCGACACCCCGCCAGAGTCATGGACCCATGGCGACGGGGTGATGGTGTACGCCAAGGGGGCGGCAGGACAGGAACTCCTGGTCGGCCTAGACACAAAACCCAACACCGAATCCCTCCCCGCCGGGCCCGACGACACTCCCCTACTCCCCGAAGACGCCGACCAGCTGTACTACGTCCTGCAGAACCGGACAGACTATAACCAAGATAAGAGCGGTGCATATCAGACGGCTGAAATTGAAGGCTGTTATGCGCATCGCGAGGATGCGATTGCTGCGGCGAAGGGGGTGTTGGGGATGGATCGGGAGGAGTTTGCACAGTATGATGAAAGGGAGGATGTGGATGATGAGACTGACGGGTGGCCGTTTGGTGACGAGGTGCTGGTGCATGCCGTCGCGCAGACGGGGGAGAATTATACAGTTGCGGTGAAGACGGTGGTGGGAGCGCATAGGAAGCATGGGAAGGCGTAGAAAGGGGATTGGGGATGGATCCAGCTGGAGGAGCGGATGTTACTAGGTACCTAGGTAGTATGACTGTGCTTCTACGGTAGTCTAGTATTGGCCGGGTGTATTGTGGAACTGTCATGCTGGTAGTATATGTATGCCTCCCTAGGAGTAAACGATATCTTCGTGTGAATGGAACTGGAGAATACCTAGCATCGGGCGGTGGTGCTCCATGAAACGGCAGTCTATGTGAGCAGCCAGGAAAGAACTGCAGAGGGTATCTAAGGTCAATTCGTAGGTTATGTGACGAAAACTACTTATATGCTCGAAAAAGCGTCGACAGACCTCAGGGCTTATACCGTGCAGTAAAATGTAGCAATAGGCATCGATTCATACTGCTCACAAGCCTTAGGAGTACGGTTACCCCATCCACTCCCCCCAAGCCATGACCGGGTAGGATACAGCTCACAACAGCCTACACCTCGGCTGTCTCATGATGGGCCTGGCTGGCTGGCCTCTCGTCAAGCTGAATTCCATCGCGCTCCTGCTGTAAAGCCAGAGCGCGGTTGTTTCTGGTTTTCCAGGCCGCGTACCAATGTACTTGATAGCTGTGGTTGTAGTTGGTTAGCCAGGGTTCGGTACTGACGAAAAAACGGGATGGGGAAACCTTACCACCTTCCTTGGTGTCATCGAAAATCTCCTCGATTTCCTCCAGGGGTTTGTTGGCGGTCTCTGGGAACATGAAGAAGACATGAACGAACATGGTGGCGCAAAAGACCGCGAACAGAACATAAATCTTCCACTTGATCGTAGCAAATCCCGGAGGGACAAAGTATGCAAGCGCAAAGTTAAACGCCCAGTTAGCCGAGGTGCAAAGAGCGACGGCCTTGCCACGAAGGCGCAGAGGGTAGACCTCAGGGGGGTATGTCCAGGAGACAGGACCCCAAGTGGGCGCGAAGGATGCCACAAAGAGGTATGTCGAAGCGATGACAACCTTTGCCGGCGCACCCGACAGAGCCATGGACTCGGCAGTCGAGGTAAACTCGCCGGGGTACGGCTCCCGAGAGTATACGGCGAAGACGCCTGCGTTGACGCAGAGCCAGAGACACATGAGAAAGGCGCCGACGAGCAAAGTCGGGCGACGCCCCCAGCGGTCCATCCATAGAAGAGCCGGGACGGTCATCAGGACGTTGATGACGAAGTTGATGCCGCTGGGAAGCAGGACTGCGTTTGTGCCTAGATGTGGGTTAGGAGTAGTTCTAGAAGAGACCAAAGGGGTTGGGATGACATACCGCCTCCCCCGAGTCTCGCCATGTCGAAGACGTAGGTAGTATAGTACATCTAAGACGGGCAAGTCAGCAAAAGCTCAGTCCCCAGACAAAGCGATACAGGCAAGGAACAGATGGATGCATAGGTACTTACCATGACATTCATGCCGGTCAACTGCGACCAGATCTGCGTAAAGACACCGATCGAGGTACGATTGATCATGTTGGGCGCAAGCAGCTCAAGGTAGCTGACATCGGCGTTGGCGCGTTCGAAATCAACTGCCTTGCGAATCTCCTCCATCTCACGAAGGACCAATGGAGAGTTGGGGTCGCCTTTTCCATGGACCAGATCGAGAACCTTTTTAACCTCGTCCTCGCGGTCCTTTTTGGCCAACCAGCGAGATGACTCGGGTAAGAAAACGAGTCCCACAAAGAGCAGGACCGCCGGAAGCGCCTGGATACCCCAAGGAAGCCTGAACGCCGCGGCACTGTGTAGAAACGAGCCGCCCTAGCAGATGAAGTACATAATCAGAATACCCCAGGTAACGGCCCATTGCTGGAAACCAACAGGCCGGCCGCGCATGAACCGGGGAGCAAGCTCCGAAATGTAGACGGGAACCTGGGCGGAGCAGATCCCGACCGAAAATCCGCAGATGATGCGCCCCGCGGCAAGCATGGGGATGTTGACCGAGGCGGAGGTAACGATGCAGCCGACGACCCTGTGGTAAAGTTTGTTAGTGCCATCTATTCGGATTATACTTCGTAACACCACAACAGAAGCGAGACTGACCAAATGACAGAACCAATCTGGATCGATGTTTTACGACCGAAGCGATCAGACGTGAGACCAGAGACCAGCGAACCGAGCGAAGAGCCGCCAGGCATGGCCGCTGTGATGCCGCCCTGGACTGCATCGGTAGGCCCAAGGCAGTGCCCTTTCTCGTCAAAGCCACGTTGGTAGAAGGCGCAAAGGTACGGCTGGGTCGAGATGATGGCTGACATGGACGAGATGTCGAAGCCAAATAGGGCGCCGCCTAACGGGGTAAACGTTAGCAGCTTGGCATGCAGTGGTTGCTTTTAAAGTAAAGGGTCGGGTGCCCCAGCGATGGAGGGAAACTCCGGGCACGATGGAGGGTGATGGGGAGCCGGGGGATTATCAAACGACTTACCGATCACAGCGACGGCGGCGATAACATAGATACTGCCGACCTGAAACATCGTGTCCTCAGGAAATAGGGATGATGGTATCAATAAAGAAAAGATGTACTCTCAGATGCGAAAGCAAAAGCAGTAAACGCGAGACAGAAAGTTGAGTGTCAGTTGGGAAGAGGTAGTAGAAGTCTTGGGGAATAGGGAGGAGGAAATGAGACGTGCAGTCTCGAAGAAATAAACCAGAGAAAACCACGTAAAGAAAAGCTCAAGAATCAACGAGTTGAAGAGAGGATAGGTGGAAGATGAGAGAGCACCTGACGCAACTCGAGTTGCCTATGTTGTTCAGGCCTGGGTCTAGAACTGAAACTCAGGCTGTGCATCTGGATTTAGAGGTCTTCGACCTGAAGTTGCTTCAGGCTGGACGTACCTTCACCACCCTATTGAATTGGCATGAGATACATACCTGTTCCTTCACTATCTCGTGCTTCTTCGTACCCCGCCCACATGGTCAGATGGTCCAGTCAACGTCAAGTCGAACCTTCACTGGATTTCATCCCATGGACGTGGCTACTGAGAGATGGTTATACCAAGTCTCATTGATAGAGCATCTAGTGTCTATATTTGACGAGACAGATGTTATGAACTGACGAATCGACACTTGAGGAAACTTCTGCGTCGACATTCAATAAGCTGCGTTGACTCTTTTGCGCGACCTGTTTACATGCCCTGTACTAGGTTAGTTAGAACCAGACAGCTCTTAAACTTTGTTGATTTACCAGATAGATAGGTAAATACAGGTCAATTGATGGGTCGCTTAAGAGTTTCTTGCCTGCCTTATCATCAATAGCCAATGTTGAGAGACCTTGTTCGAGAGAGACAAAACTCCATTTCCGGATGATGGTGCGGGTCCTGCAGTGGCCCACGGGCCGACGTTGATCTCTGAGTCAGCTACTTCGGTCTCACGAAGAACAACTTGCTTCTTTTAGAGTGTGATACTGAGGTAGTGCTAGATGATTGCAAGTTACACTTCTCTAAGAGAATTAGAATAGCTTGAGGAGCGGTGTTTTGTACTTCTGCTTGTTTGATGGGATATCTGGGAACGGGGATCGAGGAAAGGTGTCGTTGAAGATGGATTAGGGTTAGGGGCGGAGATAGCGACCAAATTCAGCCGATTAGGTAAGCGACTGTTCGTTAGCTACATACAACACCGGTGCCTGCTGGTTCCCAAGTCACATGCTTTCGCTCGCCTCGACGCGTTCCAACGCCCCGCGACGCAGCCCGCCCGCTCACCACAGCGCGTTGTTCCCCTGTATCCCTTTCATGCTTTGACGACCCAATCCTGGGAATCCCGGCAAAGATGGCGCCCGAAAATCCGCTTGCCCTCTCGTCATCGCCAGCAAGAGTGAAGAAACGCGGTGCTGGGGAGAAGGATGGTTCAGTCTCTCCACCCCCGTTGAAGCGCAAGGCCCAGGCATCCATCTCGAGTGCGCTTTCCACGCTCCCACCTTCCCTCGCGTTCTCTCGTTCTGATTAACCTGACACGCTTATGTAGGGAACGCCGTCGCGAGCTTCTTCACGCCGGTATCCCAAAAAGCAAAGGAGCCTATCACCTGGACCGAGCGAAGCCCCGATGTTGACTCGCCTGCCACTCTCCTCGTCGCAAAATATGCACCCGAGCAGGATACATCCGCTGCAAGAGACCACGTCGTGAAGAGGAGGAAGATAGCTGCATTTGATCTGGTATAACAAGCCAACTTGGAGCTGTTCTGGATTCGCGCTTATGCGGCACAGGACTCGACGTTAATCACGACGGCGTCCGGTAAACGGCACGCTGATGACCCGGCGGATTGGAGGTGGTGGCATCACTCCGTCCCAGGACGGCTGCAGAAACTATACTATGAAGAAGGGTACAGTTGAACCCCCTTAACACCGCATGCTCTCGTGTCGCCACCTAACTGAGATCAGCTATCTGGTGGTCATCTTCACCAACCAAGGCGGCCTGACCCTCCATCCGGATCCCAAATCCAAAGCGCCCAAGACGCTCAAGAATCGAGTGCCAAAGTTCAAGCAAAAATGCAATGCTGTCCTCAGCCAGTTGGGAATCCCGGTAACCTTGTACGCCGCGACCGGCAGGGATATCTATCGCAAGCCGCGGACAGGGATGTGGACTGAGATGAAGAGCGACTACGACCTGCTCGAGTCCGACATTGACCACGCCAGCAGTATTTTTGTCGGCGATGCCGGTGGCCGCATCGCCGAGCCTGGGGCAGCCAGCACCCTTCAAAAAGACTTCAGTTGTTCCGATCGAAACCTCGCCCACAATATCGGTATCAGATACCAAAGTCCGGAAGAATTCTTTCTTGGGGAGACGCCGCGGCCCTTTACAAGGGATCTTGACTTGGCCAACTTTCCCTTTTTAGATGAAGACGACGCCCCAGTTATGAAAACAAACGACAAGGACATCATCCTGTTTGTTGGACCACCGGGGGCCGGCAAGAGCACATTCTACTGGAAGTATTTGCAACCGTTGGGCTATGAGAGAGTCAACCAAGATATACTGAAGAGGTACGCCCAGTGCAATGCCGTGTCTCCGAGCTAGCCCATCTGACGTTGAGAAAGCAAGGACAAGTGCCTCAAGGTAGCTGCGGAATTGCTCAAAGAGGGCGAGTCTGTCGTTGTTGGTCCGTTACGTACCAAAGCTCCTTTGCCGTTACATCTGCTGACTGCCTGGCCTGCAGACAACACAAATCCCGACCTCGATACTCGCTCCCAATGGGTTGCGCTCGCCCGCGAGCATAAAGTGCCGATTCGCTGCGTCTGGTTCAAAACGCCCCTGGGCCTGTGCGAGCACAATGACGCCGTACGATCTCTTAACAAATCGGTACGGCGCTGCACCCCTTAATCCCATGCCATTAGATCACCCTCTGACATTTTGCTTGTAGCTGAACCCCGAAGCCCGCCAGGGACTGCCCAAGCTTGCGTTTAATGGCTTCGGATCGCGATTCAGGGAGCCGAAAGCAGCGGAAGGATTCCAAGACGTCATCCCTGTGGACTTTAAGTTCAAGGGAACAAAAGAAGAGTACGACATTTGGTGCCGGTACTGGCTCTGAGCGTTCCCATTCGAGCATTACTCGGCGGGGTTCCCCGGAGCCGTACTCAGCTTTTGCTGTGATCTTGCAATGCCGTTCCTGGACGATGAAATGCTGGAACAGGTTGCACTGCGGGTCAGGTCACTGCCTTCTAAAGTATCGATCCGTTGACCCATGGGACAGCCGGGTTGATCGTCTGCAGCCTTTGAGGCTGCAGCACCTTCCTGACAGAAGGCAACAATCACCGCCGGCAGCACATAGCGTACGGATCATCCGACTTATGTATATTGGCAAGTTTTCCTTCCGGCGGTACATGCGCGTTTCTTGCGTGCGTATCTCTGTTTGCTGATCGAAATAGTATTACACGGCAGCAGGTATCTTCAGCTCGCGAACTCGTGGTGGTGATAGTCTCTTATCGAGCAACAGCTCGCGTGCTCATCTGGCACAGCCGAGACAGCCTCATCCCTTGGTTTTTCTTGGCCAGACCGGGGCCGAAGTGAGTGGAGCAGAACATTTCCGCCAGTGGAGCATTTGATGAACTTGGACGCGTGCAAACATCCGAACTCGACGCACAACCTTGCGACCCTTTTTACCTGCAAATGCATATGTTACCTCGGCTCAGCCGCTAGTGATCACTGGCTCTCTATCAATGTCCTTTTTGAGCTTCGGTCAAGGCTCGCTGCAGTTGAGCTTGATAAGTTCGACCGCTGCCGAGTAAGACCAACGGCCTTCCTCACCCGATCGAGCCGCCAATGTGGGCCACGTCAGGTACGTGGTCACAATACCGGAAAACATCATCAGGGACCTCGGGGATTTAGGGGTTTGGGATCCGCTGCGCTGGGTATTAGGTTTCATCAGCCTCCCAAGCTCATGGACGCCCATAGTAGTATACATATTCGTATCTACAATGGAGACCCGGTTTCTGCAGGTTGTCGTTATTCATCAGTGGTGTATCGAGGAGAGGGCCATCATTCAATTTGGCCGTTGTGGTGTAAGGTAATGGAGGGCATGGTTATCGGTATTTACCGTATCATTGAGATACTAAAATTTTGCGGGGTGCAGGCAGTTATCCACCTTATCTAAGCTTCTAGAAGCGGAAGGTGGGATGAATCGGATTGTTGTTTTCTCTTTTTCTCTTTCCCCCATTTTTCTTTCCCTCGATTTTCGTGACCAGACAGACAGCATGTCATCCTGGTTGTTACCTATCAAGTTATTCCCAATTACGCTTGAAGTGCAGTCCTGGAAGTTACAGCTTTAATACATGAGGTGTCCAAGGTGAGCAAGGAGAGGATCTCTGCGCACGTGATCTCTCCGGTGGATTTCAACGAAATCAGCACAGTATCAGCGAATAGATAAGATATCGTTACGCCACCAGTCTCAAAACAGGAAGGTCCCATCGAAATCCTGGCATTTGGCGGCCGTCACCCACCCTCGTCGATCTCCCCAAATCCAACGACAAGTGGAAGGCCACTCGCAAACGGCCCAAGGAGCGAGAGGAAAACATGCTTCGGTTCGCCTCCACCGGTTCAATGATTGTGTTACCAAGCGTTCATTGGCCAATGGCAAGAGTATCATATGTATCGGCGCCTCCCTAGTGCGGACTGCTCGACCGAGAGCGCGAATGGGAAACGCCGATGCACAAGGTTTTGGTCTAGCGAAGGGTTGGGAGGCCATCGCCACTTACGTTGGATATCGCTCCGATTCCCACGCCAGGATCCCGTGGGTTTGGGCAGGAGATACCGTGGAACTTACGCGCATGTGTCGGCCGGAAGTCCCACCGAGATTTCGACACCGTCGCGTGGAACATGAGGAGCCCTCTTCCCCACATCCACGCACGATAATCCCAAGAATGTGTTCCCTTTCTTCAGAACTTTTATTAGTGTGCCAAGTCGATATCTTCCTCCACCTTATCTCAGGGTCCATCCACGCCGCGTGCTCAAAGTATTAAAATTGCATCCTCTCCCTCGTCGCGCAACCGGAGGTGGTCCGCTGACAGGCCCTCGGCTTCAACAGCGTTGATCTGAGCCCGTGGCTACTCGTCGTACCATTCCCCGCCAGTCCGCCGCTAGCTGCCACTGCACAGAATTCCTCCACGGCAGTCCTTAGTGGCCGGGGCGGGAAACCTCAAGGAGCGCGAACATGGCATCCTCAGAGGGAGATCGCGCCCAGGTCGTGGCGCAGGACACCATTGAGCCCAGCTCTACGGCAACCGCTTTCCAGCAGCAGCGCTTGGAGAAGCAATCGAGCTCCGGCAGCAGTAGCGCTGATGCACACGCCGACTTGAAGAACGTCTCGAACCCCGTTGAGCAGTATGGCGTCGACCCAGAGAAGCAGAGCACGAGGGTTGGCTCGTTGCGGGCTAGATCCGAGTTGGAGGACGAGAGGGGGCCGCTGGCCAGGTTGTGGCACCGGCACTGGAAGAAGCTGGCCCAGTTGGTCACATTCATGGTATTCACCGCGTCCGTATCTCCTCCCCGGTGCCCACACCGTGTTTCGTCTGTTTGCCAGACGCCGGGCTGACAGTCCAGGTCGCTGCAGCTGGTGGATTTACGGCCTCGTTTTCTTCCGCTTCGCTGACGGCAAGGGCTGGTTGATACCGACCTTGATCTACATCGCCCTCGTCATTCGGCTCATCACCCTCTACATCCCCGCCTCGCTCGTGCTGCGCCCCGTCCGCTGGCTCTGGAAGCTCACCGCGGTCAAAGTCTACGACGCGATTCCGGCAAAACTGCACAAGCCGATTGCTGCCCTCGTGAGCGTTGCCGTCTTCCTCATTGGTACTTTGGTGCCTGAAGAGACGGGAGACAATACGCGAGCTAATCGCGGCGTCTCCATCTTCGGCTTCATCGTCTTGCTAGCGGTGCTGACCGCCACCTCGCGCAACTGGAGAATCATCCCATGGCACACAGTCATTGGCGGCATGTTGACACAGTTCGTTGTCGCTGTTTTCGTGCTGCGCACACATGCCGGCTACGACATCTTCAAGTTCATCTCGGACATGGCACGTGCGCTTCTCGGTTTCGCCAAAAATGGTCTCGAGTTCTTGACCGATGCCGATTTTACCGCGACGCCATGGTTCCTCGTCAGCGTGATCCCGGCCATCATGTTCTTTATCGCCCTCGTACAGATGCTCTACTATATCGGCTTTCTGCAGTGGTTCATCAAGAAGTTCGCCATTTTCTTCTTTTGGAGTCTGCGAGTCTCGGGCGCCGAGGCCGTCGTGGCCGCCGCAACACCGTTCATCGGCCAGGGCGAGTCGGCCATGCTTATTCGCCCCTTCATGAACAATTTGACCATGGCAGAAATCCATCAGATTATGACTTGCGGCTTTGCGACTATTGCCGGGTCCGTGTTGGTGGTGTATATCGGAATGGGCTTGAACCCCCAGGCGCTGGTGTCGAGTTGCATCATGTCCATCCCCGCTACTCTGGCCGTATCCAAGATGAGGTATCCCGAGACGGAGACGCCCGTGACGGCCGGCAAGGTTGAGGTGGCCGCGAGCGAAGATGAAGAACATACTGTCAACGCGCTCCATGCCTTTACCAACGGCTCCTGGCTGGGCCTGAAGATCGCCGCCACCATCATTGCTTGTCTTTTGACAATCATTGCTCTTGTCGCCTTGGTCGACGGCCTGCTGGGCTGGTGGGGCAGCTATTGGGGTCTGGATGACCCTAAGCTTTCCCTGGAGTTCATCCTTGGATACCTCTTGTATCCGGTAGCGTGGCTGCTGGGCGTGCCAACCAAGGATCTACGGTTGGTCGGTGAACTCATCGGCAAGAAGATCATCGTCAACGAGTTTGCTGCCTTTGACATGCTGTCCACGAAAGAACCCTACATCAGCATGGCTGCGCGCTCAAAGCTGATTGCCACCTACGCCTGCTGCGTAAGCATTTCACCCCCAATCCTTTTACCGGCCAAGATTTGTTTTACTAACGAACTCATTGCTAGGGGTTTGGCAATATCGGCTCCCTCGGCATCCAGATTGGTGTGCTCTCCCAGATCTCCCCGAAGCGTTCTGGCGACGTTGTAAAGGTCTCCATATCGGCATTCGTGTGCGGCGTCCTGTCTACCTTGACCTCGGCCAGCATTGCTGGCATGCTCTTTACAGACGGAATGTCCTAGGGGTAGCGGACCATCGGATTATCTCTAGTGTGGAAGACATGGGATGTCCGGCACATTTCCACGTTTGGATGCCCGAATTCGAAGCCTCTGGAGAGGAGAGGCCTTTGGACAAGAAGGATATCCGTACTATTAGTACTGCTCTAATACCCGAATTTGAAGTTATAGAAGTTTGATCGGAGTCCAGTGTAATTCATGTTTGAGCTGGCACACCTGAGCTGCCTGTTCAGCAATCTCAACCGAGTGTTCTCTGAACGCTGCACGACCTATGGCGTGAGAACCAATATTCGGGCGGATCACGCGCGAGGCGCAGAAGAACTGACGACTAACACCGTAAGGTTTAGCTGGTTCAACGTTACTCATAGTGGCAAATGAGGTGATGCGATGCGTTACATAGTACTCGGCTGATCAGTTAGTCCAAAGACAACAGTGCAATCTGATATCGCTCAGACCTCAGAGGCTAAAGATCAAACAAGTCTTATCCTGCCGAATGTAAATTCACATTGATACCAGCCACTTGAGCAGGTACCCGCTACGCGGCTACTGTACCTTATGTACGATAACTTACTATCGCCTGATGTTTGAGTCTTGAAGTGTCCTGAATCTTGATTAGCGCCAATCTGGACCGAATTGTAGAATCATAACTTATGTGAACTTACGTTATGATATAGCACCTAAGCATTTGAAAGGGCGAAGTCATAGTGGTAGTGCTGTTTTTCATTACTACAAATGGTTTGTATTTAGTACCTAGTTAGTGCTATTAATAGTTCTCAAGTTCAGTTCGAGGCCTAGGTAAGAACCGTTCGGTATGTACATCACAGGCACAGCAGCAGGATTCCTGACTTTGCTAAATAAGGTACCTAAGCGCGCTCGATTGCAACAGCAAACCAACGTCGTAGCTGCTTTTTGAGAGGAGCTTAGCCACTGGCCTAATATCCTGTTCATGTAGCCCCTTGCTCTTGGCTCGTTACCGCGAGATTGATCACCTCAGTTTGTTCATCTATGTGAGCTGAGGATCTGTCAACCTCAGAGTGAAGAAACCCGTGAGTCCAGTTTGTGACTATTACATATATAAGGTATCTCCAATAACCAAGTACTAGTACGGAGTATCATGCAACCCATTATTGCAGCAGTAATCTGTTTCTATCACATCTCAAGGGATCTGTTGCGGCGAATGTGATCCTGAACTCCACCCTTAACTGGTCTCGACGAATGAGATAACGCCTGAGCCAGAAATCGAATGTCGAGATATTGACACAAACTTGTCGTCTGAGCCCCATTGACACTCCCCCGGCTAGCGGAAGCAAGTTCAAGCAACTCGGCCGTTTAACCTTAACCGCCCTAAAAGCCGCCTTTAGTCGTAGCTGTGGCATGTCACAGTGGCTAATACAACTACCGGATCTAATGCGCATATTGTGCATGTGGATCCTTTGGGCAAACCGCGCCGCCTCTAGTCAAACTCAACTTAATGGCTCAGCAATGTTGGCATCTGCGAGAGTGCGAAACCATAAGTACCTTATGACGAACAGATGAAGCAATGGAGCTGAGGGGAACCCGTCTCTCCACCGCTTCCCCAGAACTGGAAGCATACTCCTCGTCGGCAAGGTCATATCTGGCACTTCAAGACTTCCGAGTCGTGTCAGTGTGTCACTGTTCACGGTGTTAGTGTACTTAGTTCAGTTCCAACTTCCAAGTTAACATCCAAACACGGTGCAGATGGCGCGGATCTGGAAGCAGCGTTGGAGCCCGCCAAGACTGCTCTCCATATGGCTAGTTATCTTGCTGATCAGCATCAACTCGGCAATGGCCGGTCCGGTCACCGTCGACATCAAGTCGCCTTCCAAGTCCCTACACCCCACCTGCAGGAACCCCCCGGATCCGATGACGTCCCGCAAGTTCCTGATCGCCCCCCGCGAGCACTTCGTCCTGCCCGTTCGCGGGACATACCCACGCCTGTGCCGTTTACCCGACGGCTCCATTCTTGCCGGGTACACAGCATTTGGCGCCGACGGTGAGCGCATCCTCTCCATTGCCCGGAGCCTTGACGACGGGCGGACATTCCAGCCCCACGGCGAGGTAGCCCGCTCCCGCGGCGACACGGACAATATCTTTTTGCTCCAGCTCCCGGCACCATCGGAGGGTCAGACACCAACCATCCTCGCCGCGTTTCGTAACCATGACCTCGACCCGGTCACTGGTGCGCCGACTTACTTCCGGATTACGGTATGCAAATCCACCGATGGCGGCCGTACGTGGAGTTTTTTATCCCAGGCTTTTGAAAAGCCAGCGCCCAACGGCCTCTGGGAGCCCTTCATGCGCGTGGCTAAAAACGGTCGAGACGTGCAGCTGTACTTTTCGCAGGAGATCGACAAGCTGGACCAGGAAACCATGCTTGTGCGCAGCAGCGACGGGGGTAAGACCTGGTCGTCTCCCCCGGTCCGTTTGACCGGTGCCGGGGAGCGGTTCCGGGACGGGATGGTTGGGGTTGCTGAGACGACAGATCTGACGAATGGCAACTGCAAGGACGCGCTGGTCTTGGTCATGGAGACGACCCGCCGTGGACCGGGCATGTACTCGGTTGAGGCGGTGCTGTCGTGCGATGATGGGGCGACGTTTGGGAAGAGACAGGTTGTGTATGAGCCGAGGCCTGGGAGGAATGCGGGTGCTCCCCAGGTGGCGTCCTTTGCGGATGGGTCTGTGGCGGTGGTGTTCATGACGGATGAGGATCGGGTGGAGGAGTCGATTTGGCCGGGGGGCGCGAAGATCAAGGTCGTGTTTAGTGGGCCGTCGGAGGATGGGGTTTTTCGCTGGGGCGCTCCTGAGGTGGTGGGTGAGGATGCGAGTGCGTGGCCGGGGGTTATGAGGATGGCGGATAGTGCTGTTCTGGCTGTGTATGAGTTTTCGTCGGCCATTCGAGGGAAGATGTTGAGTGCAACTCGTGCTTCGTACTAGTAGGCGGAAAAGGGGCTTACATTTCACGCATCACCTATCAGAGACAAAGTTAGTCAAGGGGTTGACTTCAATGTCAATGTTCAATGTCAATGTTCCTTCAGCTCCAGTGTTACTTAACCCTGAGTACTGACCATAATTTCCTGCTGTAGGTAGAGTGTGACGCCAGCAGGCCAATAAGCTCTTCACCTCGCAACGCTAATGAGGTCTAGAAGAAGGCACTCCTAGGAAAGTGTATCTAGTACCTGCCTACTATGATGATAACTTGAAGTGGCTCAAGTTCAACGAGTTCTCTGGCATACTATCTGAGGTGTATGTCACTTACTTCCACATGACACAACACCCAGCTCGACTGGCTGTTTTCCGGCGTCGGAACCGAGGATTCCGGAGCTGCTCACATTTCCGGCGTATCCCAGAACTCTGCCTCAGTGAAGATTACTCCATTCGGATTGCGATGGCCTGTAACATTGGCTTTTTCAACCTGCTTCCGAATCTCCTTTTCCTCATCGGGTGACAACACCACCTTGGTGCTTCCAATATTCTCTTCCAGGTACTTAATCTTCTTCGTGCCAGGGATCGGAATAATATCATCTCCTTGAGCCATCAGCCAGGCAAGGGCAAGTTGGGCTGTCGTACAACCTGTTTAAGCAGTGGGTCAGTTACTTATTCATCATGATGCTCTCGGTTGGTGTACAGAGGGGATTTCTGGTATTTGCCAAGGGTCCCGTATCCAGCATAGGACATCGTCTGAAGGAATTGAAAAGAACCGTGAACCGTACTCTTTTTTGCAGCCATCTCCTCAAACTTGTCCACCAGCTCGAGGTTCTTTGGGAAGTTCTCGGCGCTGAAACGCGGTACCCCTCGACGGAAGTCGTCAGGGGCCAAATCATCGACTGATCGTATCTGACCAGTCAAGAATCCCCGCCCCAGGGGTGAGTAGGCAAAGACAGTAACACCAAGTTCACGGCAGGTGGCCAACAGGTTGGTGCCTGTCTCGTTTTCAATGTCCAGCTGCCAGGGGTTATACTCAACTTGCACAGCGGCGATGGCTGCAACCTTGTATGCCCGTCTTAGTGAGTCGGATGAGCACTCGGATAGACCAATTGCTTTGATCTTGCCCTCTCTGTATTATACCGCGATTGCAAGCCGTCAGCTCATAATTCTGCGCATGGTTTTATCTTCTGAAGAGATGAGACGACCAGGAGGAGGGAAGGGTGGACATAGTAGGTGGACATACTCCTTAAGCTCCCTAAGCACCTCCATAGTCTTCTCAATCGGCGTCTTCTTATCAGCTCGGTGGACGTAGTACAGGTCAATCGACTTGACGCCCATCCTCGCCAGGCTCCGTTCGCACGCTGCACGGGCATGCTCGGGGGTACTATCGAGGCCAAACTCGACAGTGCCGTCGTCTTTGATACCGGCAGTCAGTCCGAACTTGGTGGCGAGAAATATATCGTCCCGTCTCTCCGGGTGAAGCGCGAACCACTTGCCAAGCAGATCCTCGTTGTCGCCGTATATGTCGGCTGTATCCCAGTTGGTGCACCCAAGCTCCCAGGCGCGGTCCAGCACGGCAAGGCGCTCCTCGTCAGTTCTGGGCCATGATTTAGTACTGGAGTAGGTACTTGACACATCACTGTGTTAATGTGCTGCTCCGGTGGAAGGGCGGCTCTTACCCCACTGGCCCGTAGCCAACACTCAAGCCCATCAAACCAAGACCGATTGCTGAGATCTCGGGACCATCTCCGCCTCCGCCAAGCTTGCGGGTAGGAAGAAGGACTGGAGGAGTCATCCTGGAAGTTCACGGTCTCACTAGATCACTTCGGTTGTGTCTAACGTGATGGTATTGAACAAGCCCAGACCTGGCAAGTAAACAAGTAGAACAACTGCCCTTAGGATAGAGGAGCCCGAGAGGTATAATACTCGTCCCTTCTCAGGTCTGAGAGGTGATTTCCAATCAATCACCTTCTCTGAAATGCGAGCTAAAGGACGAGCGGACCGGAGGTAGGGCTGATAGCTCATAAGCCCGAGCCTAGGGCTCCCCGCATCAGTGATGCATCGGGAAATCACCGAGTCCGAGATCTTGGTCTCACCAGCGGCTTGGCAACGTCACTGCAGCACAGGCTTAAGCGATGCCTTGATATACCTACCTCAAAGCATTTTGTAGGTAGGTCGGTGCATCACTGGACCCTACCTGATCACAGTTGACCTGGGATTTGCTTCTTGTTCTAGCTGTGTATAAGTGCTCTGCTGAAAGTCAGCCTGAAGGTCACCCAGATTGGTGGCAAACCTGAGCCATCCCATGCACAGGTAGCTCGATAAAGGCAGCTTATAAAACAGACCTAAGAACTTCGCATCCATCTGGGTGCTTCCAAGTACATGTAGGTAATTGGTTCCCGCAAGGCTTGGATATCCGGGATATGAGCGTTCGCGTGTCGCCATGGAAGTATTGCCGCCGGCTGGGTGGTAAACGCGTAGGAAACAATCTATCTAATCCACTTCCATCTTCTCGTCGTCCTATGTCTGGTGGAGGTACCGAGGTAGTCCCAGCAGCAGTCAGATGATTAGAGGCTCGTGTGGAAGACATACGATTGCTCGCAGCCTAGGTCTTGCTGCCAAAGTAGTCAACGCTATGGACGCTGTTTAGAAGGTAACTGAAAGAAGAGAGAGGGAATATGCAATAAGAAAATCGGGGATTATCTCGAATCTTATTGAACTGGCGGGTCTAGGGTCTTAATTACCCCACGCTCCCTGGCGTTACCCCGCCAAATCGGGGGTTTCTGAAAGGAGCAACTTAGAAACATCCGACCTATTGACCGCCTTTCAATCCCCGAGCAAAAACAACCTTTATTGTCTGCTCCTCGTCTCCCCGTCCAACCCTCCCCGCGCCGGCAAGCGAGGACCGAGTCCAATCTTGAAGCCATGGCCGCCGAGAAAGTTTACCGCGCTAGCACCACAGCGCCAGTGAACATCGCCGTTGTCAAGTAGGCCACGCCGGAGCATAGAATGATTCCTCCTCGGCGCTTTTCCCAGCCAGCCAGCCAGCCAGCTAACCAATCCCTTTGAACAGATACTGGGGCAAGCGCGATGCAAAGCTCAACCTACCCACGAACAGCTCTCTCTCAGTAACCCTCTCCCAATCCGACCTGCGCACGCTCACCACCGCCTCCTGCTCGGCCTCGTACCCCGCTTCCGAAGGCGACTCCCTGCTTCTGAACGGCGAACCCTCCGATGTCTCGGGCGCGCGGACACAAGCTTGCTTCCGCGAGCTGCGCGCCCGCCGCGCCGCCCTCGAAGCCGCCGACCCGTCGCTCCCAAAGCTCTCCACCATGCCCCTGCGCCTCGTCTCCGAGAACAACTTCCCGACGGCCGCGGGCCTGGCTTCGTCGGCGGCGGGCTTTGCGGCGCTGGTCCGGGCCATCGCCGACCTGTACGAGCTGCCTGCATCCCCTTCCGAGCTGAGCTTGATTGCGCGCCAAGGGTCTGGGTCGGCGTGCCGCAGTCTGTTTGGCGGGTACGTGGCGTGGCGGATGGGTGAGGCGGCTGATGGGAGTGATTCCATGGCCGACCAGGTGGCTGAGGCGAAGCACTGGCCTGATATGCGCGCGCTGATTCTTGTCGTGTCGGCTGCCAAGAAGGGGGTTAGTTCCACGTCGGGCATGCAGCAGACGGTGGCGACGTCGGGGTTATTCCAGGAGCGGATTGCAAAGGTGGTGCCGGAGAATATGGCCCGCATGGAGAAGGCGATCAAAGAGAGGGATTTTGAGGCCTTTGCGGAGGTCACCATGCGCGACTCCAACTCGTTCCACGCCACGTGTGCGGATACGTACCCCCCCATCTTCTACATGAATGATGTCTCGCGCGCCGCCATTCGCGCCGTGGAAACGATTAACCAGGCTGCTGGGAGGACCGTCGCGGCGTATACCTTTGATGCTGGGCCGAACGCGGTAATCTACTACCTGGAGAAGGATACCGAGGCCGTTGTCGGGACGTTTTTCCACGTCCTGGGAGGCGCCATCGATGGGTGGAAGGACTCGGTTATCAAGGGGCTTAAACCGACAGTGTCCTTGGACGAGGGAGCGGCTGGCTTGTTGAAGGGCGGTGTCAGCCGGGTCATCCTAACGGGTGTTGGAGAGGGTCCTGTCAAGACGGAAGAATATTTGGTGGCTGAAGACGGTAGCCCGGTGAGGAGATGATGTTCAGCATCACCTAAAGGCCGAAGGTCTCCTCAACGTGCCTGCGGCAACCATGATGGACTGGAAAGCCAGTGCACAATGGCCCGAAGAGTTGAAGTGCTTGCGGAGAGAGGATTCAAAAGCAAATAGATCGCCGTCTTTGCTGGATCGTGGCTTGGCTACGAATGCGAAGCTGTCCCGGTTGCTAGCCTTCACATTATTATGCAACGTCGTTTCTTGAGATGCCGGTAACGGTTCAAGGCTCAGGGGCGTTTACGGTATGATTGAAGTACCTTACAGTACAGTACATACATATCGTACTGTAACTTACATTATGCTGGGGCTACAGCACGGACCTGTCAAGGGTAAGCTCCCACAGCAGCCAAGCTTCCCCAGGCGCCTCAGTTGCGCTGATGTAATCGTGTGCACCTCACCAAGCTGATTGTCGCGTGTACTTCCTCATTCTTCATTCTTTTCTCCCGGCTCCATTCTTCTCCTTCTGTAGCCAGTACGAGCGCCGGGGAGTATGCGGCCGCCGGCGTCAGAATGAGCCGGAGTTTCTACGACATTGATGCCGCGGGCGAAGTGCTCTGCACCTACACGGATAGCAGCGGGCAGGAGAACCTCAGATCTGTGAGTGTCGCAGTTTTAGAATTGCGGATTCCTTTGTGATACTCGACTTAGACCTCAGTTACTTGAGCGCTTGAAATAGTCTCCCTAACTGTTGATTCTTTGTCCAGGAGAAAACCGAGGTCCCCCTAGCCAAAGCCATCCTCTACGCCTTTCTGCCCGCCGGCTACCCGCACACCGTCACCGACGACTACCTCGCCTACCAGACCTACGACTCCCTCCAGGCCTTCGCCTCGTCCATAACATCCCTGCTCGCCAATCGTGCCGTACTAGAGGGCCTAGGCGTAGGCGACTCGTCGTCATCCCCCACGGGCGCCCTAATCCTCAAAATCACGGGCGACACCATCTCCCGCATCGCCACCATTCTCTTCGCGCACCGCATGGGCCAGGCGATCGAGCCCGAGTGCAAGTTCTACCGCTTCCTGGCGGACTTGTTCAACGACAGCGCGCAGTTCCTCGACCTCTTAACGCCCGCCCTCCCCTACTTCCCCAAACTGGGCGTGATCGTGTCGGCGGGGGTGCTGCGCTCGCTCTGCGGCGTGGCCGCAAACGCCAGCAAGGCCAGCCTGTCGGCGCATTTCGCGCTGACGGGCAACCTGGCCGAGCTTAACGCTAAGGAAGCCTCGCAGGAAACGGTGGTTAGTCTGATGGGGATGCTGGTGGGCTCGCTGGTGGTGCGTCTCGTCGAGGATAAGCAGGTGGTCTGGCTCCTCATGGTCCTGCTCGCGGGCGTGCATCTCACCATGAACTACCGCGCTGTGCGGAGTGTTAAGATGCGCTCGCTCAACCGTCAGCGGGCGACTATTGTGTTTCGGGAGTGGTTGGAACATGGGACTATACTTACCCCTGAGCAGGTTGCTCAGCGGGAGAGCATCCTGCGGAAGGGGCGCGGCAATCTGTCGAGCAAGAGCGGTGACTATACGGGGTTTTGCGATTTTTGCACTTATGGCGACCTCAGGCGCTGGAATCCCCGGGGATACCATCGCTATGACTTCGAAACGGCGAGCTACTTTATGGGCATATGGCACCGAGGGGGTTACTTCTACATGAGGGTTGCCCTCAAGGAGGGCACGACTAGTCCTCTCTCGGCCTGGTTTGACGCTGTCAACCACGCCTACCACTTTGACTCGGCTCTCAAGGACGGGTTAGAGAGCCATTACGAAAACGAAATTCCACTGGGTTATGTGTCCGAGGAGCAAAAGAAGACGATATTTGCCGCTTTGACGGCAGCGGGCTGGGATCTAGAGACAAATGCGTTAGAGACTAGGTTGCCTGTTAGAGTAAGGGTGGGCGATGGGAGGAAAGGTAAGTCGTGCCCCCATTTTGAACGATTCCAGGCAATGCCCTAATATCTCGCTGTAGCTCCGCATCTATCCGAGAAGGATCCCATCAGGCATCATGGCCACCAGGAGGCCAAGCATGACTAATTCTGTAGATTGCAGCGGTTGGGAAATACTGCAATAGAGCGCCATGAGCGCGCCTATCGTATGGCGTCAAGGAGTAAGAACGGGGACAATGGATTGACGGTACCTACGGTTCGGTTGGTTAATGCTTGATTGGGTCATGGGTAAGGGACATGCTGCTGGGACGGCGGTAGGATTAGACATGTTGTAATTGTATTCATGGAGATACCACGCAAATGTCGAGCCTCAGGCGGCAGCTCTGTGAAACCTGAAACTTGAGTCATTTTGTTTCTGTATTCGAGTCCTCAACAAACAGCCTAGATCCATCTAAACGCCCACCACCTCCCCGTCCGGAGCCACAGGTTGAGTGGTATGTATAATACAACCCAAACTCCCAGTGCTTGGTACTGATACAACTTCGAGCTTTCAACAGCAGGCAGACTGATCCCCTGTCACGCCAATCCCGTAGCTCGCAGCGCCCGCATTTTGATGCCCTCCCACGTATTCAACTTGGGCCGCACGTCCAGGTAAAAGTTGAGCTTCCCAGCCCCAGCGCCGTCATTGCGCCCGGCATAAAAGTCGATAATGTACTCCACCCTCTTCCCACACCGATCAACCACCCAGTCATGCCGGTCAAACGGCGCGGTATACCCCAGCAGTGTGTTGATCCGCGCGCGCGGGCTCATGGTCTGGCTCAGCCCGGCGAAGCTGTGCAGCCGCGGCCCGCCACAACCCCCCTTGTTTATCGGCGCGACGTAGGGCGCTTCCCACTTGAGGATCTCGGCCCACGCCTTCTCGTTGACGGCGTTGTGGATAGGAACTACGGTTTTCATGTCGGCTGCTGACGCTGCGCTGTAGCCTTTTCGCTTCATGGCTTCGAAGAATTGTTTCTCTGAGGGGTACACCCAGTGACCGCTGGCTGATGTGCCGGTTTCTTGCTCGTGATTGACGGGGCATGCTGACGGGCCCGGGTCGGAGGAGCGAGGGATGCTCGAGATGACGCGGGACTCGTCGAGCTGCGGGAATGTACGCGGGGTCGATCTGGCGGCTGAGGCGTTCGAGGGGCTGGATTCCTGGGATAGGGCCGGTTGTGAGAAGTAGGGAAGTCGCAACCATGATGCCCAAGACGATGTGTTTGCCGCTTGGTTTGCGCCTGTTGCTTGGCCGCTCGGGGCTGCTGTGGTTGCTTGCGACGGAGAGGAGCGTGCCTCTTGTACCCAAACCTCGCGTGTCTTGTGGTCGACGGGGCATTTCGCCTCTTCGCCTGCCGGCGTAGGAGCTGGTGTTGATTCCTTCATGCCGGCGGTGCTGTCTCCCACGACAGTCGCGTCTTTGCGACTGACAAGAACAGTGTCAAGAAGATCGTTGTGCATTCTGGCCTTGGCACATTTCTCCGCAGTGATTTTGCTTGCTCTTTTCGCTGGTGTCTAGGACAGACCAGCGAGAGCTCTCAACATCCCTTGGGAGCACCGCCTAATATCGCAAGGGAATTGCAGGTCGATGCTGGGCTGACAGTGGAAAAGCTGTGCAGTGGGTGGATGCAGAAAAGTAGTAACCTGACGATTTATCGTGTAGTTACACGGTATCAATTAGCGCATTCTTGACACTGTTTCACTCGTCGGGAATTCATGGCAACTGTCAGGGCCCGGTTGCCACCTGGTAGCACCTGCAGGGTGAGCACTCACGTTATGATGGAACTTTATGATGGGACCGCGATCTCACCAATGGCTCAGACCCGTTCATGATTAGACAGTTGCAATCTCCTCCTGACCAAGTTTTTCAGTTGACCAAGGCATGTAGCCCGCCGTATCAGAATAGCGGTCCATACCTATCAGTCACCCTCACAGCTTGTTTGAGCAACGTTAGCTTCAGAGAGGAAGCGTTAGGCGTCTTGATACTCCGTATCAGGGCAAAGGCGACCGTTCCCAGCTGCCAGCTTTTTAAGTCATGTATCTTCTCGACCAGGGGACATGGAGAACTAATATCTAGATGGGTATGAAGAAATGCTGTCTGGATTTTCGGACAAAATAATAACCCTATATGTTGCAGGCTAAGCCCTCCCGGCCGGCGTTACCGGCCCTCAGGCCCCTGGGTATACGCCATAAGAATGCTTCCGTTGAATCAAGTCAGCCTGTGCCAGTGGCCGGACAAAGCCATCCTATATACAGCAATGGATGGAAAGGCAAAACAAATAGGCATGACTAGACGCTCGTCAACGCAAAATGCCGCCTTCCTGCCGATCCTGTCCCTTCCATGGATGCCAGTCCTCCCGTCATATATGTTGACATTGCCTCTCGTAACCACCCCGTTGCGTGAATCGCCGAGGGGGTGTTACCTTTGGCTTTCATTCCGAGTTCATTTGTTGAAGATACAGCCCTGCTGCTTGTAAAATCTGCTCTGGTGCTATTCCATGCTAGAAATCGCTCCGCTCATGCAAAGGCCGCGGCGCCCCCTGTCTCAATAACCTCGATCTCGGCTAGGGTGAGGGGCTGGCGGTGGAAGCGGGCCGGGAGCTCGTTGCGGTCAAAGTAGATGCCCTGGGGCGGGGTGACGGGGCCGAGCTCGGATCCGGCCGCTCCGCCCACGCCCGCCGCATCGCCGGACCTGATTGTCTTCCGGAGAGGACCGTGTTGCTGGGCATGGTCGCGGTAGGCGCTAAATGAAGTGTGCGAGGAACCGGTGGTGAAGGATGAAGGGAGCGAGTGGCTGGGCGACGCAGGGTGCGGCCGGGGAGAGTGGTCGATCGATGCTATAGGGGAAACAAGGTTAGTTGGCTGGGTTCATAGTAGAGGATCAAGTTAGATTCCGAGATGCGGACATACCAGGGATGGTCCGCTTGCCGATGAACTTGATGGAAGGAGTGCGCTCGGCGTGCTGGGCAGCCTGACGAAGAACCCTAGTGGTAAACATGGTCGAGGCCGAGGTAATTTTGCTTGCCCAGTGGAGTGATTCGAGAGCTCGGGGAATTTCGGTATGTCCGAATTTTTGACGGCGCGCTGTGTTTTTATTCTCCTCACAACGATTACTGTCCGAGCTGTGTCCTGGAGCGCAGGGTAAACTGGGCTGGCGATTTTGGTACCAAAGCTGTGACGTGGACAGGTCGAGTGAGGAGAATGAGCGCTTCGCGGGTGGGTTGCTGGAGGTGAGAGGGAAGGTCGATCAAGATGGGATGCAAGAAACTCAAGGAGATGGGAGTTTTCACAAGTCCGAATTTCGCGCCATCGATGGATACCAACCAATTGGACGCTGGGCCTTGATAATGTGGGGGTCTGCCCACTCCGGTCCATCCCGCCACCCAACCTCGAGCCAACCCCACCGCGTTTTGTACCCGCAGGAATGCGAAAGATGACCGAACTGTGCATGACAAATGGGCTGATCAGACCACCAGCAACAAGCGTGCTCACCTTCCGGGTTGGCTCAAGATCAACTGGAATGCCAGGAAGAGCGGGAACTGTCAAACGGCTCTAATCAATCTCGTCAATCTCTAATATTTGCCGATGCGTCTCTTCACTGTTGAGGATTGTTTTCGGCCCCGCCGGGGCAATGATACCTTAAAGGTACCTACCCCGCGCCCCAACCCTTATCTCCGTCAGATTTGTAGTTCGCATGATGTGTCAACCCCCCTTTTGACAGTCTTTTCTCCCTTCCTCCTGAATTACTAGAGCCAATTATCATTACAAAACTGCCCTTCAAGGAACGCATATCAGGTATGCGACACCTAGCAGAGTTGGCTGGAAAACAAAATTGTTAGTAACAACCAACAATCAACCTATAACTACCTTTCTGAATAACCTCACTTTTCAAGCTGATATCGGTGTCATTATTCCACTCTCTTTCGGGCCAGAAAGACCGCCTAAGCACGCGGAACGGCAAGAAATCAATCGGTATAGGAGACTTCTGGTCTTTTAAAAAAAAAAAAAAAAAAAAAAAAAAAAAAAAATAGACAACATTAGGGGTTGTTCTCGATTCGGGATAATTAAGACGCCGAAGGAGATGAAACGTATGAGAGAAGAGAGATGCTACTGCAACAGTAAAGCAGCGTGAAGTTGACAACTGCGTTTCTCGCGGCCTTTGCAGGGCGGAGCTGGAAGATGTGGTAGGGCTGGCGTGTTCGAGTCGGCTGTCGCCGTGACGTTGACAAACAGACGGAAAAGGCATCTCTTCCTCCCATCATGTTCCAACCAACACGGAGAACTCGGCAGGACTCGCGCGGACATAGGGATCGTGAATCTAGGGCGCTTCATATGAGACCCTAGGGGCATTCGAATCTTTGAGCTTAGTCGCTTCCGACAATTGCCTTCGAGCAGAGTTGAGGGATACCCGCCGCTATCACTGTTACCTCCCTGCTCCTCGGACTATTTCCTAGGCCCGCCTCCTTTTAGCGATGTTTACCATTTCGGGGGGTATCAGCGTTTAGGCCTTCGCCATGATCGTAGCAAGAATATCGAGCGCGCTTAGTTCTTTGTCTGTTTGTTCTCGGGCGCAAAGGTCGGGTTCTCGAAATGCTCCCGTTCGGTCGAGTTGGCCAAGGTCAGCCAAGGTAGTGTCGGGCTCCGGTGCCTTGGGTGAAGGCTAGCTTTGTAGAATCTGTGAATAGAGAGATAAAGGGAGTAGAGGGAGGGAGGGAGGGAGGGAGGAGAGGGAGGGAGGGAGGTAGGGAGGTAGGGAGGTAGGGAGGTAGGGAGGGAGGGGTGATAGTGATAGGTCAACGTCTCGAGACGACCAAGAGCCATCCATGATAGTAATGAATTTGAGGAAAATAGGTACTTTCACTTCATCCCAGAACCACTTTTAGAAGTGGTAGCTCGACATACTGCCTTGTGCTGTTTGTAATGAGCGACCTGGCACGTCCGCCCGCAATACGCAACGGCTTTGCACCTCCCGCACAACATCAACTGCGCAGAAACCTTTTTGCAATTCGCGCATCGCGCCAGTGCTGACAGCGAACCAGCAACATTGCCACTTCCGCTCTCCACCGCCGATAACAAATCCTCCGCTCTCTTTCTCGCCAATCTTAACACGCGCTGTTCACCCATGCTAACGTGCGCCGCAGCCCATGCGTTCCCTCCCGAAGGATAGACACCCTCGGCGAGTTGTTCTTCTAGCTTTTCCAGCGGGGTCCCGAAATTATCTAGAAGGTGACAGAACGATTCTACCAAAAACCGCAGGACTTCTACTTCGTTCGAATGGCTGATCTTCTCATCTGTTCTATCGATCTGTTGAACGGCTATAACAGAGAGATCCGATTCGTCCAGTCGCTGAATACGGAGGTATCGGAGGACGTTTTTTCGGTAGCGGATCGGTGAGAGTGAGGGAGATGGTACAGCTCGAATCGAGTCCAGCCGATACCCAGAGCTTATGCTTTTGCTCGAAAAGCGGCGCACTAGGGTGCGTTGCAAGAACGAGATCATAGCTGTCGTGCGGATTCTCAGGCACGACAAAGCCATAGAGACGTAAAAGGCGACTATTCGGAATCGATCCATAATAGATGAAAACCTGAAAGAATCGTTCGGACGTAAACAAATTGCTAACTACCATCAGAGAACATGACGAACATACCTGATCTCCGGCTTCGTAATCTTTCCCCGCAAGGACCGAGAGATTTCCAGACGAGACGTCGTAGACATGACGCTGCTTAACCTCGGACGAGTGGTTCAAACATATCCGAGTAAGGCGCTAAAAGTCGAATCGAATTCCCATCGGGCAGTACAAAATCCATCGCACGACTCCATACGGGGTTAGAACTCTCATTTTTGTACCCAACCAAAGCACCCGTAGCTTCATGAGTTGCCCAACCTGAACACCTGCCCCAGGCCCCCAGATCAAGGTGTCTCCTAGCGTAGAACCAACCCACCGTGACTAGCTGCAAAATCGCCGGCCCCGGCATACAATCACTATGTCGGCTATGGATATCATTTCTACGGTGACCATGCTTATTAATCTGGGATATGAAATCAAGAACCGACTGGACTCGCTCAACCAGCTGCCGAAGAGCTTCAACTGCTGACCACCAACCTTGCACTTTTGTTGAAGGTGTTCGAGAACCCCGTGAACGAGGACATCATCAAGGCCAATGTGCCACAGTTCGTGACTATCCTGGATGTCCTGGAAAGCATCGCACGTTCATGCACAGAATGCGCAAAGGCCTTGGACATCGACCTTGCTGGAGCGAGAATTGCGACCAAGACAGAGTCGCGTGGCAAGAGATTTGTCAAACGGATATGGACTTTCAACAAGATTTCTGACCTTCTCGCGGAAATTCAACGCAAGGCTGAACAACTTCAACAGATATACAGCGCAATTTTTGCTGTAATGCTCCAGGACATCTGGGTGCAACAGGGACGGACGAGTGGGAAGGAAACTGTTGAATCCACCACCGTGACCACCGTACAAAAACCTACCGTACATGAAAACTTGCACAACCTGGACCTCGGCACGGATTTTGTTAACATTGACCGGTTGGTGGGGAGTCTCATAAAGGAATGTGAATACCTTCGGCGAAGACTTCGGAAAGCTACTCTGTTTCCCGACTCGTCGGCTGTTCAAAATTATCATGAGCAAAACCCAGAAGCAGCATCATTTTGGAAGGATCGATTCCAAAAAGACGAACTCAACGCCTCGGCTCTTCGCTACGAGGTAAGGACGCTCAAATTTTGCCTCCCACCCCCTACCTCACCACTTTTTTGTTTGCTTTTCTTTTCTTTTCTTTTCTTTTCTTTCTTTTCTTTTTTTCTTTTTTTCTTTTTTTCTTTTTTCTTTTTTTTCCCCCCTCATCCAATATCGCCGCATCATACCGACATATCGCTCTCTTGACAGACGTTATACGTTTCTTGGGCCCGCTTCGTACATGAAGTAGAAACGTCTTTTGTTCTCAAAAAGATCCCGACTGGAATTTTCGAAACCGGAAACATCGACCTCGTTTGCCAGAAAGGATCTCGCTATTCCATCGATCAAAACGGCACGCGTCGTCTTTCCACAATCCGGCCTCTCTGGCTCCCGGCTCTTCGGGCTGCTCTCGATCCGCTACACAAGGGTTACGTCAAGCCTCACGACTATTTCGATCTTCTTCACGACTCCTCCTTGTCTGACAGCCTCAGAAGGTTGGCCCCTCGAAAACGCAGGCTACGGTACACTTGTCGAATGTGAAAGGGAACCCGCGGATCTTCCCTTGCCGGCGCCGCAATTGAGTGTCCTTCTGATCACATCGGCTGGATCTCTGCTCAAATCGTGGCAGTTCCAACACCTCATGAACTTGGAATCGTTACCGAACGAGAGGCCATGGAATCAAGCACCGACACCCTCTTCGCTTACTTCAAAGATACTAATCGAGACGTTTACGTTCACGTACGCTACCTTCAGACCGGTCAAATTGAGCGTAAAAGTCTCTCGAAGCGAGTTCGTCCGATTGGGGGCATTTCCCGAGCACGAGCTGGAATCAGGTGGTCATGCCTGGAGCAATGACCTTCACATCACCGAGTTCAGGGCATGTTACGGAGGGCGGTACATTATTACGGCGGGTGTGGGCTCTACTGCTGTTGTGTTTTCAACGAGGCCGCTCAAGAATTCCTTCAACAAAATGTTACTGGACGACGACAACCCCTCAGGTTCTACCATACCGGAATTTGAGTTTACGCTTCTGGGGCCGTCAAAGGCATTCATCCACCACCGAAAATTGGCGAAAAGGTTCAGGTACGTACATGTATTGTTTCCGCCAGACTAGGTACCCTGCAGTACATTCATTGAGATGCAATTTTGATTTGGCCAGATCGAGTACGACGGATTTTGGTACGATTCGAGAGTCACGGTAGTGGACGGCGATGAGATAGAGTATGTCGATTGGGACAGCGCACCGGAGCAAGTCCCAACCGATATCACAGAAGCTCAAGACGATAGTGAAGGGGATGAGAAAGATAGTGGCAGCCTTTTCTTTTCCGATGAGCAGTTGACGCAGCTCGGAAAGGGCACGCGGCGGCTATGGCGACCATGGCGGAGAAACATCCAAAGGTACGACGTTCGACCTTATCGTTGCTTCCATATCGGCGACTCTATCGAGGCACCCGTCATGTACCCGGATTTCCGATACCATTACCATGTTCCCAACAACTCGGAACTCTACCTTCCTGCTCGAATCGTTGACGTTCAAGGCGACCAGTATGTGATCGAATTCAGTCCGGCGCTTTCGGTTCATACGTGGTGGCCAGGGAGGATGTCTAAGGGTGAACAAATAGAGCTAGTGCCAGGATCAGGCATTAAGGTAGCAAACCCGCTCGACTTTAATCGCATGACGGTAGGTATGGATCGGGTATGTCCTTTCTCTGCAGGGCCACGACCGGTTCTAGGTGTTCAATCAGTGAAGCCGTCTGGGTGGAGTTCATTTCAGGGTGTTCGTCTCAGCAATCTTGAGGATCTTTTGGAGCGGAGTCTTTGGAACAACGACGGCGATAGCCAGCGATCGGGTGGCAGAAGGACTGGCCCATTCGCGAACGAGGAATAACTGTATCGGATACTCTCAACAGGATATAAAGGCTGTATGGCGTGATCCAATTTTTCCCTTTTGGCAGTCTTTTCTCTCCTGCCTCTGGATTACTATAGCCAATTATCATTACAAAACGACCCTTCAAGGAACGCATGCCAGGTATGAGACCCCTAGGAAAGTCGGCTCGAAACAAGACCAAAATGACCGCAACCCGCCCTATTTCTTCAAGTTGCCTTTCGTCTTATTGCTTCAAAAGCTCCGGTTTGCCAGATTTTTATACCATCACTATTCCTTTCTCTACACGTATCCTCCAGACTGACCATGGCCTTTCAGGGTCCCAGGAGCCGTCCCACTAACACCTCCAGGAGACCCTCCAGTGGCTCCCACCTCGGCAGTTTGGGGGTTTCCTGTCAAACTATATCGCAACGTTAAACCATGACCGGATTTTTCTGCTCAACCAAGAGGGATTACTTACCCCCTCTTTTCCCTTCTCTTCTTTTGGAGCCGTCTAGCCAGAACGATAGCGCCCTGCCGCCCATCGCAATTAGAATACCGTGACACTGAACAGCAGAGAGGACGCATATCAAGCTGGGTGACGCGTGCGGACTCACCAGAATAGCGCTGGCCAGGAACGCAATCATGGCCATGAACGAGAAGGCCAACACCGTTCTCCACGGACCGCAGCCCGAGGTCCCTTGCTGGCCGTCGCCATTGGAATCCTCCCACGCTTCGGACCAGTACGGTCTCCAATAACTGAAAAACCATCCCGCGCTGCAATTCCGTGCACGCTGCATGTGGATGGAGCGGTTAGCTTCATTTCCGGCATCTGCTGTAGAAACTTCCACGTGGAAAGCTTACCGTAGCGAAGAGGGAGAAGGCGATCAACCACATGATGAAGAGGATGAGGTCCATCGGAAAGGCCCAAAAGGCCCACTTGAACGGCGCCAGCAAAGCGAGGGCGAAGAGTGTGCTGATGGAGGCGGCAATGATCCCGTAGATGACTCGTCCATCCCTCCCACCGCCGCCCCTGGCGACGTAGTGAAGGAAGCGGGCGAGGATTCCCAACACGATCACGGAACTGATGAGTTGCCACAGTCGTAGGGTCACGTGGAGAGCTTTCGTGACGACGCCCATGGTGATTTCTTGGCGGTACTAATGCAACTTGCTGCTGTTTTGGTTGAGTTCGAAGCGTAGGTCGAGAGAAGTTGAAGCGTTCGTAATGCTGGCCGCTGGTGGAATAACAAATTGCTTCTGATGATGATAGTCAAGCCGGGCGGAAGGAAAAGTGCTGTCCCAATGTCCCTTATAAATGATATGCGACCTTGCCGGGCCCATTTCCACTCCTTTGTTATGATCTGGTCTTACCCGGTGGCTTGTGGTATGATATCATCTGTCGTCGTCGAGGTTCACAGCGTCATTGTTCTGAATTATCCTAAACCACACGCATTGGGGAGCAAGGTCCACATTCCAGTCAGGCCGTAGCAGACCTAGGAGGCAACTCGGGACTCCAGTAGATGCTAATGTAATATCACAGATTGATCTCACCTCTCCCAGCGGAGGTACTTGTCGCCTCATACAGTAAAGCTATGGTTATCCTTATGCCACTGATGTGATTACCCGAGGAATCTCGTCCAGAGGAAGGTTCATTGTGGGTGCCGCACACCTTCTGCAGCGTGGCGAGCATTGCCGTCATCGGCAAAATACAGTACATCCGGAGTCGATATGCTCTGTTAAGAGGGTAGTAGAGAGAGCAAATTTCACAGCAAAAAAATGCGTCGCACTAACAGCGGGTATGTACAACCCGCATTGAGGATTTACACATGCATGGCAGGAGCGAAGTCCAACGGAAGGACGTCAGGTGCTCCTGAACGCAGCAAGTTCTGGTGACTAGGTACCTTAGGTTACCTATCTAATTCTATCTAATGCAAGAAACCCGACTTCCAGATACATGTATGGGCCCGACGCTGTAGTGAATGTTTCCTCCACTGAAACCAGCACTCAAAGCCAAAAACACAGACAATGAAATGTAAAGGAAATGCCAGTCTGACGAGTCCATAGTCAATCCCTTCCCCACCACTTATCCCTATTGTCCAAACATCACAAGGCAATACCAAGCACCACAGAAAGATATTGCCGCGCGTGTGGTGTTGCTGAACCGACGTCTAACAGGACGAGAAGCTGCAAACAGCCACTATGCCCCCGGACGGTACGAGGCGGAAGTCGGGCAGTTGGCCTTACGGCAGTCATTCTTGATGGTCCTCACCACCACGACGACATCCCCATTCGCCTTCCAGGTAGTAGTCTCCTCAATGACATGCTTGCACCTGTCCAGTGGCGCATCAGTATCATAGGTTGGACACAAGTTTGCAAATGTAGTAGCGTATAGTACTCACATGATGAAAGTTTGAAATGTTCGAAGGGTCAAGATGGCTCCCTAGTTGGGACGGCGGATGCAATGGCAGGAAAGGTCCTAAAGTTCAAGTCGAACGAGCAGAGTGAAAATTTTGACTCTGCAGAGGCTGCGTATCTTTTGCTGTGTTCAAGGTGCGTTGACAACGCCAATGGGGCAGTGTAGCAGGGCTTGATGTGAGTGAACTAACTCCAAACTTGAAGCCAGAAGGGCAAGAGCTTTATATATGCAAATAGTCTTTCCTTGGGAGCCCATCTCAAGCACGTCGCCCTAGATACCTCAGGTATCTAACGTAGCTCGATGCATGTCCTTTGGAGGCCGTTCTTGCTACCTACACAGCCTGAACAGGTAGGTCCAGTGACTCGTGTTCTGGCAGTTGGCCAGCTTTGAGGCCGAGGCGATACGCCTTGTCCGAGTCAGATGCGGAAGAACAAGTCATCGACAACAAACCGCTTGGCGACGAGATGCTCTTTTCTGAAGCTAGGGCCGCGGCCCGTGTCTCTGCGCTTATTTCAGCACTTGCTTGCAAGAGTGTTGGTGTCTCAACGTTGGCCTCTCCATCCTTAACCACAAGGATCCGTAAGGTACGCAGACCACAATCTCAGGCCTAGGCTCAGAGAAGCTCAGCGGTGAGCCTCGTAAGGTGATTGAACTGGATGCCGCCTGCGTCGCAACGCTGCCTTGACTAGTGCCTGGCCTAGATTCAGGGCCAACAGCACTGATTCAAATGTGTCACCTGGGAAAAAAAGGGTTATGACATCCAATAAACACATGACCAGGGCGCTTGGCAAGGCTGTCCGCAGCGCGTAAACTGCGTCGATTGATTGGCAGGTGAGCCCCAAAGAATGCAGGCAGGATTATTAAAGTGGGGCTCATAGAGGCACTCTTATTCCCTAGCCCCAAGGCTCCCAACCACCCCTCAACCCCAAGAACTCTCCATTCCAAGACAACTCTCATTTTGCCGTCCATAGGCGTTTGTTATTGAATCTCCCGCAACTACAAATACTTTTACTTACCATTTGTGTATCATACTCGCTCACGTTTTTCAAGGCTAGGCACGACACACAAGCCGAAGAGCGGAAGGACGATGGCTCCCAAAATCAACAAGATTGGAGACCTTATGTTGGCAGAAGTCTTCGACCTGGGTGGTGAAAATTTCTTGTACACAGAATTCCACTACATTGACGAGGATGACGTCGTTTACCACGGCCAGCTCAAAATGGATAAACTGAAGATCAGTCTGGAGCAATTCAAGTCAGCTCTCCAGCGAATCCCAGACGAGGAACTTTACGCCCAGCTGCCTTTGGATGCAAACTACACTCTCGCCTCCGACGACGCCGACGAGAATACCTTTTACTTCAAACGGCCGAACATCTTTCACTATGATCGGTACAAGGAAAATGATTCCCTGGACAGTTTTCCCATCATGATGCTGGAAGAGATCAAAGCCTTGGAGCTTGTTTCACAGCATCCCCATCCCAACATCGTCAAGTACCACGGCTGTCGGGTACGGCGAGGACGCATCACTGCCATTGTCCTTGACAAGCACCCGCAGAGCTTGAGAGATATCGCCGATGATAACGCCCTGGGCACCCTTGACAGGGAAGCCTTTATGGCTGCGCTCGAGTCGGCTGTCAAGCACCTTCACTCACTGGGCTTGGCTCACAACGACATCAACCCACGGAACATCCTCGTTGACGCAAACGGCATGCCCGTTTTGGCCGATTTTGGCTCCTGTAACAGGATTGGCGAGAAACTGGGACTCTCTCGGGGAACACGTGGTTGGATTGAAGGAGACATGAAAGATTATACTACCTCCGAGGCTCGTCATGACACATTTGCCGTCGAAAAAATTCGAGCCTGGCTAGAGAACCCTGATCCACCGCGATCTTGAGGCTCTGAGACTGAGGTGCTTTCTTTGTTTGGATGTATAGGAATCGTGCTGATGTTGGGAAGGTTACAGTTGAGTGGAGGGATTTGGCGAAACTCTCTGGAGAAGCTGAGTTATGGCTCATAGATCTTGAAATGGGTTTTCTCCTATTACCAACCCGAGGTCAGATAACAGTAATACAAGTGGTATCAACGACTCATTCACCCAACTGTTTGCGGGTTGACAATGTAAAGACACTTACCCCATACAGAGTCCAATCTCCACAGGTAACCAGTTTCCAATCCACACTTTGGTGTGGTGAGCGTTGGCTGTACTCCGATATGACTCCGCATCCATCCACATCGGTGTTCAATGTTAGCACCAACAACATCGCCACAACACTTCAAGAACATCCTGGGGGAGTCAAAACCACGCTTTGGAAATCTCATGAATTACCTTAAGGTTAGACGAGCGACATAGGTCCTAGTTCCAAACTTCCAATGTTTTTTGTATTTTTTTGAGTGGTTGTCCAACTTAGCTCTACATTGCAGTAACACGCCAGGGGCAGTACTAGGGGCTTGGAGGTTCGGCCTACACGCTCACGAGGGAGAAGTCCCCTCGCAAAGCTGGCCCCTCAATACCCAACAGTAGATGGTTGATACACGTACTGCGACGTGCAGCTACATAGAGTGCTAACCTACAGCATCTGAGTCCGCCCCATCCAGCACTAGGTAACGGTCTGTGGGCCCGCGAGGCGTTGCGTTTTTCACAGCAACACCATCTCTTTACCTAAGGTATCTCTTCCCAAGTGATGTTAACGTGAACCAAGGGGTACCTTGGGTAGCGACTAACCTCGGCGCGGGCCGGCGGGGGTTGAACTAAGCTTAACTTTGCGATGCCAAGCTTCTTTAAGTGGATTTGCAATCTCGGTACGCTGCTGAACTCCACACTTTCTCGTTTCTCACCCATTCACACCACCGACTCGTCCCAAACCGCATACACCACTCTGACTCGCCCGATCAGGTCCTCAGGGCAAAGATGCCATCCGGCTAGGCCGGCGCTAACAAGCTGCGTTATCGGATGATAATGCCGTAGGCGACTGGCGGTGCTACTCTACGATCCTCTCTGCATTGGACTATCACCACTATGGAGTTAGCACTCATCCTTCGTTCCAGCCTGAGCTCCATCAACAAGGTATGCCTCCTCAAAATGAGAGGCCGACAGTGGAGGAGGGCAGTCAAAACAGGCAAGTAGCATCAGGCTGGAGCTTTCGCTGTTGAAAACTCTGACTACGGCCGCGCTCAAATCTTCGTCCCGCCGTTAAGCTGCATGTGTTGATCTGATTCAGGGGTTGCTCGAAAAAAACATTCCTCAGGGGCTCCAGTTCAAGTGGCGAGAATGGATACTGGCCGCGAACATGACTATAAATGGTGCCTTGGGCGTGCTCTGCCTGGCGCCGAGGAGATCTGGTTCACTTGATTCTCTGTCACACAGCGTCCAAGATGAGGGTCTTCAAGGCTCTTGCGGCCGCCCTCCTGGCTGCCAACCAGGTGAGAGCAAAGGCAGTGTTCGCCCATTTCATGATCGGCAATACCGCCCAGTACACGGTTGGCGACTTTGTTTACGACATGCAGCTGGCTCAACAAGCAGCAATTGACGGTTTTGCCCTCAACATGGCTTATAACGAGGAGGCCAATGATCATTCGCTTCCGCTGGCATTCCAAGCTGCCGCCCAGGTGCCCGGATTCAAGCTCTTCTTCTCGTTCGACTATGCCGGGAACGGACCATGGCCATTGCAAGTTAGTGATTCCTATTATCCCTGATGAAACACACTCATCCCCTGCGTACACTTGTATGTACATACTGACAAGTCCGTCCCCCACATAGACCGTCACAGACATGATCAACAAATACAGCCCCAATGCTGCCTACTTCAGACATTCGACTGGTCAGCCGCTTGTGTCCACCTTCGAGGGCGCGGACAATGCACAGGACTGGGTAACCATCAAGCAAAGAACCGGCTGTTTCTTTATTCCTGATTGGTCTTCCCTTGGCGCCAAAAAGGCAGTAGCCAGAGCTAATGGGGTGGCCGATGGGCTGTTCAACTGGGGAGCCTGGCCCGAAGGCATTCAGCGAACCAGTTGGGATCTTGATGCATCATATCTGATTTTCTTGAACAAGACGCGGACATACATGGCGTAAGTGATCTGAAGCGAACCATGCCCAAGATTTGCTCTGCGCCCAGAAACCTGTGCTAATCTTGCATGCTGAGGCCAGGCCCGTGTCTCCCTGGTTCTTCACCAACATGCCGGGCTACAACAAAAACTGGCTGTGGCGTGGCGACGAGCTCTGGTTCGACCGGTGGCAGCAGCTCTGGTCGCTGTCGGTTGTGGGGGCGGATCAGTGGCCTGGACAACCCGAGTATCTCCAGATCATCTCGTGGAATGACTATGGCGAGTCACACTACATTGGTCCCCTGAACGACAAAGCCTACGTTGCCTTTGGTCCGACCACGGGCAAAGCTCCATTCAACTATGCCCTGGGAATGCCCCATGACGGATGGCGACACCTGTTGCCCTTCATGATCAACATGTGGAAGACCGGAACCGCCTCGGTGACTCAAGAGGCTCTGGTGGCCTGGTATCGTCTCACTCCCGGGCGGGCATGCGACGCTGGTGGAACGTCTGGCAACACGGCAGCGCAGCTCCAGACCGAGGTGACGCCGTGGAGTCTGGCCCGAGACAAGGTCTTCTTTGCGGCCCTGATTACCAGCCCTCACTTTCCCCGCGTGACGATTGGAGGCAGAACCCAGGTTGTCTCGTGGACTTCGGGCCCCGATAAGAGCGCAGGCACTGTTGGTATCTACTATGGCAGTGTTGACTTCGAGGGAGCAACTGGCGATGTGCTGATTGAGCTTGTCGACTCGTCCGGTGCCGTCGTCGCATCCTTGAAAGGAGCTCCCATCTCGGCCACATGTCCCAACGGGGTGCAGAACTGGAACGCCTGGGTCGGCAGCGCCGTTGGCAACCGGGCCATCTCGCCCACGTCGCCCAAGTATCCCCTCTCCAAACAGTCATGCGTTGAAGGAAGTGGCTCCAAGTTCGAGTTCAATCTCTTGTGCAAATATTCGTGCGCTCTCGGATACTGCCCGCCAGGCCCATGCACGTGTTACAAGATGGGCGTCAAGAACATAGACCTCGACCCAAAGAACATTGACGGCTACCCGCTCCCCGGATCTGACTGCACATACCTTGGGCTCTGCTCCTTTGCTTGCAACTACGGTTTCTGCCCCAGCGAGTACTGTACGAGCGATGCCGGCGCCAAAGACAAATGCGTTGTCCCCGCCCCCGAGCCCGATCCGGATGACCAAACCCAGTCATGCACCTCCGGGACGGGTGAGGGCAACTTGGCTGGTCTCTGCAGCTTCTCTTGTGGTCGTGGTTTCTGCCCTGTCCCTCCTTGCAAATGCACCGGAGTCGGACCCAGGATTACGCCTCCTCCCGAGACAGACGACCCTGGTTATCCGAGACTTGGATACGGCCTTGAGTACAAGGGCCTGTGTGACTTTGCTTGCTCGCGTGGCTACTGTCCTGAGGGTGCCTGCTCCCGCAGTAATCCCTATGGGGCAATTTCTGTTCCTGCGACAGGAGCAGGCTGCAATCCGAAAGACCCGGAAGATTTGTGGCGCTGCAAGGAAGTAACTTGCCCTAGGGGAGACTTGAAAGACCGTGTTCGCTGGCAGGCGGTTGGCGGGAACGAGTTCTTCAATTATACCGTCAAGTGGTTCGGTGCTTACAACGACTTTAATCCCAACCCAGCGACAGGGGACCAGCCCTTCGACGGTACACCGTGGGAAAACAACCCCATAGAAGCCATTGCTTACTTCTTCTCGGGAGAAAACGATAAGGGGGGCACCAAGGTCTCGGCTCGAGACCTGGACTGTGAAATCTTGGGGGAGGGTGGCGGCTGCAGCGATCCTCAGAGCTTTAAATGTGGCACAACCGACTATGCAGCGCTGGACTTTTTGTTGACGTCCTTTGTCAACATCCACAACTTTTACAACACCATGTACCAGTCTCTGACCGACGTCCAAGCAGACCTGACCCTGAAGCTCGAGGAAATAGCAGCGACCTTTTGGCAGAGTGACCTCAGCGCCCTGGCCATCTTCAAGGCCATCCTGGGGCTGTTCTCCCTGATACTAACGCTCGGTGGTTCTGCCATGTGGAGTGAGCTGTTCAGGATTGGCTCCTTCAACTCCATCAGTGACGCTGTTCCAATCGACGCCATCTCGGAGGCTGTCGGCATGTTCAGCACAGGGTTTGACTACGTTTCACAACAAGCCGAAGCCCATGCCGTTAGCCAGATTCAAGTCGAGACCACCCTGAAAGCAGCGGCTACGGAGTTCTTCAACCAGGCGAGACAGTGCCTTGACACGTGGATGAAGCGGACATTCACCGGGGATTGGGACAGCTACGAGAGGCTTTTCACACACGTAAAGGACGGGTTGTTCCTCTCGGCGCGTTCCAGATCGAGCTACGACTTCTACCAGGCCCTATCCCCCGTGGTGACTGGCATGAGCATCGTCGAGACTTGGAAGATGGAAAGCCCGCTTGCCATCATCTACGAGCAGGGGGATCACGCCGAGCCAAGGTTCGATCTCATTTCGTCGGGCGCCGAGTCTCATCGAGTCCGTGTGCCTGACCAAGACTACACGCTATGGATCGTCAACACGGCCAACTGCGGCGGAAGTGGCGGCGATGCCTGCATTGGCGGCGCCATCAAACCCACTGGAATCGACGAGCTAGAAAAGGCCGACAACAAATGGAAGCTGACCAAGGAAGACATTGCCCTGTCCAGTTTCTACGGCTACATGCTCAATCGCCAGAGCAACCCTATCCGACCCATGCCAAGTGCGAAGGGGATGGACGCCTCTGGCAGCCCGTTCCCTTATGCCGAGGGTCTGAAAACTCCCGGCATCTTCCCCATCCCGGTTTGCGATTCCGAGCTTTACAAGCTGAATCTGGTCAAGGACGGGCTGAGTAAAACCCATAAGTGTGAGTATTTCCCTTGCTGCGAACGGAGATACTATGAATAGGGGGGCCGGATGTGAATCGGGATGTGGTATCCAGGTCATGAGTCTTCGAGACGGCAGCAATTCAACATCATGTACAAGATACATGTTATCCAGTTTGGTTTTCGTTTTTTGATAGCTCGCATGCAGTTATCGTCGGTGCAAGGCATGCCTGTATGGTGCTGTATCCACTATGTCCTCTTATTGTATGTGCTGTACAGTACATCATCCAGTTCAAGTTCACTTCCTCACCTTGATGCCTACAGGTTTAAACTGGAAATCATCTGGTTATGATTGATTCCCCCCCTTAAGCCACCGGACAATGGTCCCGAATTATATCCATTACTAGTACTTATCAGACAAGTTGGCTAAGTACTACTAGTATCAATGGCTAGAGTCCCCAGACAACCAAACCTTTTACATTGGCTTAGGTCTCGTTGCAGTATGTCCCTAGGTTCTCTCGTTTTCTCTGCATAGCCAGAGGCAAGTAGCCTAGTCTCAGAGGTGCTTCTCGTCATTCTTCTTGTCCTCTTGGCCAGGCGAGACCCTGACAGAAACGTCTAGACCGGGAGAGGCCTGGGCAGCTATCTGAGAAAGGTCGCGAGTCCGGCGGTCTCGGTAATCGTCGAGTCCTTCCATAACCGATTTCCCAAGGTGGCGAAGCTCTGCCGTCGCCCGCTTCTCCTCGTCGTAGATGGTATGCGCGGCTGCATCATGGACTTCATGGGCAGTCTGCTCGACGCGACTCTTGGTGTCCATCGTTTCGCCGTGCACGTCGTGAGCCGTCTTTTGGGCCCGGGCTCTCAACTGTTTGATGGTTTCTTCCAGGCTTCGCAGTTTGCTCGCAATCTCTTCGGCCTTGGTCGGGTCGACGTGCACTCCCGGCACTTGGACGCCGTGGGCCGGCCCGCCCATGCCTATGTTCCGCATGCTGCTCACCGAATTGTAACTCTCGGGTGTGTTCAGCTCGATGTCGCGCTTCGTTTTCTCGTACATTTCCCGGACGGTTTTGACAACCTCGTACACGTCCAGGGTGCAACCTTCGTAGGAAAAGTCGCGCTCCCGCTGCTCGATGAACTCTCGGACCTTCTTCCACTCGTTGCCAAAGTACTTGAGGCGACCGGGCAAGCCAGATCCCTTCAGGTAGGTAAGGAAGCCGGCGATGATAGTATTGATAGCTCCGAAGGCCGTAATAGCCTTGTTGTCTGCGTTGGCGGCACCGAGGGAGGTCAGGGCCGCAGCGACTATGATCTGGGCACCATAACACGCGTTGATGACAGCCGACATGACTTTGTAGCTGTCCTTTGCCTTCTGTTCCGAGTTCACGACGCGAGCGTAGAGCCCGATGTTTTCGGCTGGGCGAACTCGTGTTTGGGCAAGGTCCGGAGAGGTGTTGATGCCGACCATCAAGCGAAACAGGGTCAGATCATCGCTGGGGACGAAGTGATTCGTGCTCTGAACATGGCTCAGGTGCGGCTGCGGCAAGGTATAAGCACCCAGTGTCGACGATATGGCAAGTGAAGCCGCCTTTGTCCCGTCTCCTTGTTCCTCGTCAACACACCTTCTCTGGTCCGGCACATGCGCGTGTGCTTGGTTAGACTGGGTGCCTATCAAGCGCATAACAGCCTGGACGAAGGAGGCCATGGTGATGTCCAAATGGACGTCTCCTTATGCTCCCTGATGATGTTGGAGAAAGAACAGCTTAGTGACGATGTCGGGAAGGTTGAAAACTTCAAGTCCTGCACCACCTGCCCGATAGACGGCAATTTGCATGTGTACTCGAGTGTGAAGAACCAATTGCAAGCTTGGGATGTAGCTTAAGATGCAGGACTTCGAGAGGCTAGTCTGAACGGAACCAATTGGATAGCTTGACCTGCAAGTATCCTGCGGCCCAAGACTTTGGCGAACGGCCACATCGGAGATCAATTCCTGGGTAAGACTTCGGAGCTGCTGCGCAGCTCAGCCCTTGCTCGCTTGAGTTGCGGGATGCAGAACGGTCGCGGATATCCACTGAGGCATCACGCGAAACTATTGGCCATCGGGACTGAAATTCCACTAATGCAAGCAAGAGTAGAGGATCACACACAAGGATCAGGGAAGTTGGCTGTCGATCCCGGGGTTGTCCCGGTTGCCATAGGTTTAAACCTCAGTTGTATGTACCTCCGTAGACTCGCACTATAAAGCCCTGAGGAACGTCGCACAGGGCCTTGACGTTCACTACAAGGGACATCGATGCATTGTAAAAGGTCTCGGCGACATCGTAAGAGTCCTTTTTCATCATTCAAGACTCTAACTTCCGAGGCCTCTGCACTTCACAAAAAGGCAAAAGGCGTAAGCTACGTTGGCTACATACTGCGAATGGGACCAATAATACGGTCAAAATAGGTTAAATGGCCTCTAAGGCTGGTGCCTCCTACACTACTAGCCTTATTATCCCTACATAGCAGAACAAGAATGAGAATACAAACTCCCCTGCTTCAACAACGGATCGTCACTATGAACGGAATAGGACAGTTAGATTGGAGCAACTTCAACGGGGTGACCTGTATAATGAGGACAAAAAGCTAAAGAATCGAACCTTTGAAATAAACAGTAAGTATTGATCTGTGAATGTCAAGGCAATGGCGTTGTGGGCAGTGATAGTACAGGAAAAGAGTCTACTTACGACGATGTTTTGCAGTTTCTTTAGCTCCTGCTCCTTCTCAAAGAGCTGCTTCTTCAGATCCTGCTGATCTCTGTTCCAATGCTTCCACTCCTTTCTGTGTTCTCGATCACCGTCGTTCTTGTATGAACCTGGGGGTCGTTTGTCCAGATGTTTCAAGATTTGCTTCTGGAGTACCTTAATTTCGTCTTGTAATCTGGCCTCAAGTGTTTTGCCAGCTGTGGTGTGAACGACACGTCCTTGTTGCTTAGGGAGTTCGTCTTCCAACAGAGTCTTTGGCTTTCCAAACTTGTCGGTAATGTCGATGATACAGCGGATAATATCATGAGCTGACTTTTGAGTGTTTTCATGTCTCACATACGATGCCCCCTGCTTCTTCAGCTCGTGCGAAACACCTCCTGGGGCGAACCGAGTCTCCAAGCGCTCGTTGACCAAATCCTCCGAAGCGACATAATCCCACATCGTCGTGGCTATCAGAACGCGGTTGTAGACATCCGGCCCAAGGATCTTCTCGAGGAGTTTGGTTCGATTCAGCTCAGAACCGCCCGCCCTGGCGAGTGTAATGGGGTGCAGAAAGATCAAACCGTCAAGCATCCGCTCTTTCAAGAATCCTCCTTTTGCCATCCAGGTGGCGATATCCTCAAGGATACGCACGTCGGATCTTTTGCTATCGTCAAAACCAGGCGTGTCGATGAGGACGACGGTGCGGTCGTCAAGTCGAAATTCGATTGCTTTTGGGTCCTGCGTGCCTGAGCATCATTGATTGGATGTCAGCAAAGCTGTTATCGGCGGAAGGGGCATCGGCCGGGGGTCACCCACAGGGTTTGGAACCGGAGCTTGTCTTCACAACGTCTTGACCCGTTGCTGTGTTTATGAATGTGGATTTGCCCGCGCCTGTCACCCCGAGCAGCGCAATCATGACTTTGTCCCTTCTAGGCTTGGCATCCAGCACGACCTCCAATTGAGCCGCCGCATCGTCTGTTTGCGTCTCCATTCAGCGTTTCTGGGGTCCGATGTTGCTGAGGTGGTTTGACGAAGTCCTGATCCAAAGGGAGGTGCCGGTCCAAGAAACAGCTCGAGTCCGGAAAAGATGCCGCGGCCATGGGAGCTTACGACTAGGAAGAAGGACAAATTCAGGGCAAGCAACCTTAAGCGTTTGGCTCCAGTGTCGACATTGCGTCTGTAGCAGTTGGAACTTGCAGCAGCTACGGGTTGGACCTACTGGACAGCTCCGTCGGTTGGGCACCACCCAGCCACACCGCGAAACGCGCCCAAGCCCAAGCCCAAGAAACCCAACAATTTGTTTAAGAAATCTGATCCAATGGCTAGCTTTGAGGCGAGCCTCCCGACGATGCGCGTTTGCGCATGCCCAACTTCAAAAATGCCGGTTGTCCAGAACGACTTCCCCACCTCTAAGGCTCTATACGAAAAGCTGTGTCACTGGACTCGAGTGCGAAACTGGGGCCCAACGAGCATCAGTCTCAATTTGCTCCTTTTTGTTTTTGGCACGCGAAGCCGAGCCCTCTGCAAACCTCGATCTGACAAACACTGCACCACATGTGCTTTGGATGGCCTTCTGACCCTGAGCGCAATTCGGCGAAGCATTCCAGCACCGCATCGAAGCGAGGGCGAGCGAACGGCCGCACAAGCGGCGAAACACCCCAAAGAGAGATGTCACCACCCCAACACGAATTGGTTATTTTGCTTATTGGTCCTTCTGGATCGGGAAAGTCCTCGTTCGTCCAAGCTCTGACCAGCGATCACGTCCCAGTCAGTCATCTCAAGCCATGTATGTTGCTTCCACCCGCTGCGTTTCGCGGAAGCGTCTGGCCCTTCAAGGTTTGCTGACAGCAAGCGCCAACTCCAACTTCAAGGCACGGGTTTCTGCACGGAATACAGGGTTAAACCAACAATCCATGGTCGCCCCAAGGCCTTCGTTCTGATCGATACACCCGGCTTCGTCGAGACCCCAAAGGAAAACCTCATTGTCCTGGAAAAAATCGCCAAGACGCTGACAGACCTCTCACCTCGCAAGATCTTCGGCGCTATCTATTTCCACAACATTGCCGAGAACAGAATGAAGGGCACTACAACTGAAGTCCTCGATATTTTCAAGGCTATGTGTGGTCGGGAGTTCTATCCCCACATCGTTTTCGTCACTACAATGTGGGATTCGATCAATAAGAAGTACCACAAGGAACTCCAAACCCGAAACAATGAGCTTGAAAGTGGACCTATGAAACTGAAGGACGCTCCGGGAATCTTTAGGAGGCTTCGCAATGATGACGAATGTGCCAAAGAAGTCCTCAATCATTTTTGGTGTCTAGCCTTTGAAAGGCCCAGACCTCCCACATTACTCCTGATGAGCGAGCTTCGCGGGGGTGCTCGGACTGCTGCGAACACAGCTGCGGGGCACCGAATACTCAGAGATACGCGCGAGCAAGCTTCTTCTTCTTGTTGTACAATAATGTAAACAAGTTAATAGCATGCAGGAACAAAGGGCTGTGGCCGAATCTCAGTCGTCTGAACCGCGCGCGGTGGGTAGGTGGTCACTGGTCAATTGCTAGGAGCTTGAATTCAGGTTGGGATGCAGCGTTGATGGGTGTTTTGGTCTGTTTTAGTGTATCTCAAGGGCGTTTGCCTGCAGTGAAAGGAGGCGCAGGTGTCTCGAAGGGCGCACAAACTTGGAAAACGATAATAGTCTCCCTCTTTAGTTTTCACCTAATCCTCTTCGCCTTGACCAACCTAGCATTCTGCGCCGAAAAACCTCGAGGTGTGCCCTCAACTCTGCACCCAAGGCCGTTGGTCGCTGCGTAAACCACACCAAGAAGCCTGAAAAAACATATGTACCAATTGCCACGAGGGTGATTGTTGTAGCGAACTGGAACGAGCGAACCTGTCTAGAGTCTTCCCACGTAAAGAGCTCTAGGGTGAAGAGTGTCTGTGTTTCACAAGTTAGTCTCTACTGCAAATGGGAATAAGAACCACAGGCGAGCTTACCGATATAAAACTCAAGGGCAGGTAAATGATGGTGATGACGGTAAAGACGAAGATATAGTGGTTCAGTTGCGTTGACTTCTTGGCCTCGTTTACGGACGTCGCGTTGAACATCTTTCTCATCAGCAGACTCGTGAGTAGTGCTGGATCTGGCGTTGAGAAAGGCGCAAGCTTACACCATCTTTGAGACTTTCCACTTGCTTCTGCGTCCTCGCGATGCGGGCGAGCAACGCTTTGCCTAGCCGCTGCTGATGCGACTTGACACTGTTCCAGTTTTGCTTGAAGACAGCAATGGCTGCATCCTGGCTGTTGACGTCAAGCCCAGAAGGGAGAAAGGTGGCGAAGGAATCACCGTCTGTGTTTGGGGAGAAGTAGAGCCGCTGCATGTCATCCACCATCCAACGCAGGTCATCCATGCTCTCTTGAATCCAGTCGGCAGCGATGCGCAGGATTTGCAAGACAGCCGGATAGAATTCTGACAGTCGAAGGTCACTACCATCTACCATGATTTCTCGTCTGCTTGCGGGATCCAGAATGGTGGCCAGCTGTATCACGGCATGATCAGCAAAATGTGCACATTACCTATCATCACACTTGTTAGTACTTACATCGGCGCTTAGGACTCTGTCGATCTGGTCGAGAAGGCGCGACCACTGATCCGCCCAGCCAGGAAGTAAGGACCGAATCCGGAAGGCAAAGGCAGCCACCCCCGTTGCGCGGATCGATGGACGCATATTGACAGCCCTCCAGATATCCCTATCACACAGTTCGCCAAGGTCTTCCAGTCTGGTAAACGCGTTCGTCATGGTGATCAGTGTGAATACAGGGAGGTCAAATTCCCAAGTGGTTTTGAGCCCGACCGAGTAGCGAATCTCATGGATGTCCAGATTTCTCCTCACATCGCTGGGGTCTGTCAGGTTTCCCGAGGCCCTTCCAGGGCAACTTCGCTGTCGCCCAGACCGAGTCGTAAAGACTCGCATGTGGTATTGAAACAGAACGTCTTCCGTGCGGGGTTTGGGTAACGCCATGAAGCCCCCGCCCCAAGTACGATCCTCCGAGCCTCCCTTGTCGTCCGAGCTGCCCCACGAGCGTCGGTTCAAGCCCCATTTGCCTTCAAACTGGCTGAGGAAGTATGTGACTAGTTGCAAACGCGGCTGGGAAAGATTGTCGTCATCCGAGTCGGTAGACACCATCTCCTCGGCACGAGAACATAGCTGGGAGATGACAAGTTGAGAAATCCCATCCCCAGCTCCCTGTAGCCCGATATTCCTTAAACAAGATACATCAGCCCCTTGTCAACATACCCGCTACCAATAACTTACCACTCCTTGCCAAAGCTCTGCCCAAGCCAGGTCGGGCTCAAGACCTGGCCGCTAGGAGTCTTGAAAATATGTTCTTTAACCTCCCGGCGTGGTGGTATGTAACTTCTATTCCCCGGTTGAATCGTGTCCTTCATCGTAGGATCGTCGTCGTAATCAAGGCTGCATAGATAACCATCTTTGTCGTATCCAAACTCGCCGTATCCAACGTGGCGATCATGCCGAAGCGTGTTGGATGCCCACAAGTCACCGCTAGATACTCCGGGCCCGAGACGGTCTTTGCTTTGGAGCTCTTTTGCTGTACCTGGCTGTCGGGTGCGGTAGTCGATGATCCTCGCTTCGTCGTAACGGCTTCCCTTGGGATCAATATCGTCGCTGTTTCTCGCGTTCGCGAGGGAGTCGGCCTCTTTGGGGATCTCGATCAAGTTGTGGCGAGCTATGGCCAAAAGCAAGGCGCGAATCGCAGCCAGATCTGTTGCTGCGCTTGCATCGAGACCCTGACGGGACATGGGACTCTCAGACGTGCTTGCAGGCGGGCTAGGCGGAAGGTCAGCCATACATGATGGCGTGGACTGTGCTGAGGGCCGCAGTGAGGAGACGTGTTCGGGGATGACGATCATCACAAATCGCAGTGGGCAACCTCTTCAACATCAAATATGCCGATTGAAAGCAACTGCGCTATCGCAAGTTGGGCTCGTCGGAGACTGCGTTCGGGGCAGACCCCAGCGCAGGAAACCCGGAAACCTACATGCAAGCTGCAGGCAAACTCCTCTTTGGCCTGTCAAAAGCACATGAGGTACAGCAAGGGTAAGCGTCGATGCATGCGCCTTGTTTTCTATGCACCTCGGGGAAACATGTCTGGACATTCGTCGGCATGCGCCAATCATCGTTTGATGTCTCGCGCTTTCGATGCCTGCCGCAACTTCATGCATCAGAAGAGCTTCGTGGCATCAGCACTGCATCTGCCGGGCATCCAGGAGAAGGGCATGGCCAGGGAAGGCGGTTGCTAGGTGCAGGTGGCTTTTTGTGAGCGGGGGGCCCTTTGGTGGAGGGAATAGCGCTGTCGACGAGTCTGTGACCTAGGAATGTGTGCGATGAGAATGAGAATTCTCGCAATCGCGGGCGATGGGGAGCCCTGTGGTGCGGAGGTCTTCTTCGGCGATTTGGGCATCACTTTGGAAGATCGGGATCTGGGCCAGGGATTGGATCCGGAGGAGTTCGAAGAATGAAATGCGCAGCTGTTGTGGGGACAGGATTTAGTGAGTACAGTATGGCGGGGGTATGAGATGAGGAGGGGAGTGTCCGTTACCGAAAATACGGCTTCCAAATCAGATAGAAATGTCTCATAGGAAGCCTAGCGCACTTGGACATCGGCATGGACGTATGGGGTTGCGGCACCTTCTCAGGATGACTGTTGACCAATACTTCGATTTTCTAGAACAGACTAAGAGCTGTCTGTTAGGTGCTCCCGCCGAACCCACCGAACCCACCGGATGCGGGGAAGATGCAATTGTCAAGGTTCATAAAGCACCGCTTCCGAGAGAAACTGATAATGGCAATCGGCCATTGGAGGTCGCGCCAGCTTAGGGGAAAATGCACGTTGATTTAGACTCAGCAGGATCATCCTTGGCCTGTAGATCATCTGCAACCCGGCTGTTGCAACTGGACCCGGCAAGCCTAGGAGTGGGGCTTGCTATACGGGTTCTGGAACGAGACTCCGGAACTACTGCCATAATAAAACACACGCGGGCATCACCACCCACCTTAGGCTCCTCGTGCAACCTTAGCAATTCCACCGCATTAGCAACTTGCTTACACCCCCGTGATATAACATATACATTAAACAAAGCGGAGAGGGATCGAAAACT